CCAATGAACCTCTATACATAGCTTGTTCTGTTTCGTTTTCTAGTACCCTGAGCCACGAGCACATCTCACTTCAGCAACTCAACAAATCTCTGAGAGCAGTGAGGTATGAGGATCCATCTAATCATTTCATATCCATCATCGTGCGTTCAATTTAAATTCTTGGATCAAATTCGATGAGAGATGAGCTTTGGGTTCTTAACTATTCTCTGGTGATCAAGCTTGATTATACAACTTTGAACACAGTACTCATTGGTGCTGAAAGATATGAATGGTGGGCAAGAGAGAGACGAATTTGTGACAACAAGTTGTTGGTTGTAAGCTTGAAGTTTCGGATCGTAAACATAGAATGTTAAAAAAATTTAATATAAAGAATAAGTTAAAGATTCTATAAAGTCATCTGTCATATCAAATCTTATGTCTGATCAGCCCTTTCATCATGTCGAAGGTGTTTCCATCATCGCCCAAGGAGAAAAGCTACAAAGCAGAAAACAATCATTAGAACGGTTTTGAACAGTTAGTACCTTGTTTGGATTTGTTTTACTTCTAACTTGTAAATACCCGTATTTATCTAAACCTCTTATTATGCATTTCTCTCCGTGATCTTCCAGAAGAACTTCCTCTCGACTGAAACAACAGAAGTGCTATACAGTGAAGGGAATGCAATCCTACCTGTGTAACCAGTACTGATAGTATTTCTTCAAGAATTCATTTTGGCCACGCAACTCATACATACTCAACCAATCTATAAACTCGTAGAGATTGATGAAGATAAACCAACAACTCACATTCAAATTTGTTCAAACATTCGGCGATCACATCTTCTACTGTGAACTCAATGTTGTCCCCTTCTGGCACAATGTCATTCAGGCAAACTGTTGGTTGAGAATTTGTGACATTTATACCAGCACCTGACAATATGATTGCTTTGAGATGCAGCTTCTGGGAAAACTAATACCTAAAGTGAAGAACAAACTGTCATCCCTTGTTCGGCAAGTAGCCAGTAGTCCTCCCAGCTTGTGCGACCTATTGAAGAAGAAATCATTTGGCCATTTGATCTTGACAGGAAAATCCTTAATCACTTCAATATTTCAATCAGCAGAATTGAGAACTACCTCGTGACCACTCAAAGAACAAATGGCATCTGCAATAGCAACTGCGAAAATATGTTGCGCAAAGCTAGGATTTTGTGCCAGCAAACATCCTTTGGTTATAGTAACAGAACATGTGAACATCGCCGCTCCTTTCGGGGAAATGAACTCATTTCCTCCACGACCCAAAAACAGAAATAACCCAGCACTTCAAACTTTCTCTCTCACCTTTTCCACTAACTTGTTGTCCAGCAATGATTACAAAGTTATCACAAGTTGGAATGGCATCCGATAAACTGCAAAAGATGAAACTTTGGTCAAAATCTTAGTTCAAAGATCCAACCTATCAGACACATCCATAGTAGTTGTAGCCACAGGGATGTGCATGCAAACATGTCCTATTCGAGCAGTTGTTAAACGATCGAAGAATCGTTTGAAGTTAAAGGATGACTCTGAATCTTCTCTGAAAACATCGAATCATCTAATCGTAACCATACAGAAAGGAACTCACGATTCGCCAACTATGACAGGAACAAGTTCCTCAGTAGCCGATGGTAAACCATTCTCTCTGAAGTTCTCAGCCGTCCTCAAAAACAGTTTAGGAGCTGTTCCTATTTCTTCACCATAACGCACACCCTGGAACAAATGAAATTGTATTAATTGGCTGAGAACATTGCCTACCTGTAGGTTCTTTATGGTGTTCTGATCTTTGGCTACAAGGTGTGCTCTGGTTAAAGCAGGAATTTCACTGAGAGTAACGGTCACCCCAATTCTCGATAAAGATTCTGAGAGTATCTTACTGCCTGAAAAGAGAGGAAGTACCGGATGTAACAATAGAATGGAAACTGACCAGGAGCCAATAATTGCTCCGAAGTGGCGTCGGAGAAAATAGCAGCAGCTTGATGAGCACTATTTTGCATATACAAAAACAATGGAGATTCTGAAACATTGGGTATAAGGCTTGCATGTGTTTGATACGCACCTGAAGTTTTGGACAGCACCACGGAATAGCTTAAGCCTCCAATCAAGTCTTTAGAATGAAACTTTTCGTTAACCTTAAAAGCCGATGTTGCTGATACAGATTAACAGACATTGTCATACTTGTCCATGTTTGGTTAAGCTTTTGAGTGACTTCTTTAGAAATTGTTCAAATTCCTTTCCCATAGATAGGTCACGCGAGCCAAATGCCATTCGTAGAATATCCGCCTCAAACAAAGCAATGAGATTACAATTGAAAATAATATGAGAAACCTGCTTTTTCGTGGAATCACATTCAGTCAAACTAGCAAGTAATCTGTTTTGACAAACAAAAATGATTTTTCCAGCCTTCAAAGAGACACAAGGTTTGATATGGTTATGGTTTGAATGAATTATACTTGATTGAAGTATGTTTGCATTTTAGCCCAAGCTGCATCGTCAAGGTTTTTTGTATCAGCTATGACGAGACATGACGTCGTCGGCTCAATCCATGGCTGTTTTTTGATAGCTTCAGCACTAATATTAAACACGGTGTACTTATTTTCAGGCAAAATACGAGTCAAGTTATTCCGAATACGTCGAAACAGATCTTGCTGCTGTCCCGTATAAACAAGAATCTGAACAAATGATGTGTGTGTGAATGAATGATAAGCGAAAAACATACGGACGGCGGCTTGAACATAGCTCTGTCGGACGGAGCCTTTGATGAAAGAAACTTTCGTGTGGGAGTGTAAGGCCGACGGAACGATTGTCGTTCAAAAAGGATGTCTGAAAGCAGTGAGGAAATTAATTGAATTTTAAAGAAAATTCAAATGAATCACACAATTCTCAGACTCAACTCACATAGTTTAAGGTTTCTAATATTATATAAAGAACTCATTAATTTCAGTTTTGAATAGTGAAAACATCGACGACGCGTCCTGTCATCTGCTTCAGAAAGTTCAAAAACTTACGTTCACAGTGAAACAAGCGTCGTAAAAAGAGTGCAAATTGTAATAAAAAAGAGAAATTTAATAAAGAAACATCGGATATGTTTCCAAAATTTGTGCTGAGCACTTATGTTTTCATCACATTCTTATAGATATAACAGAATCAGAGATGACACATCAAGTAACTAGAAGGATGATGACGTGTATATTCACCTGAAGAGCGTCCACTGATTGACCTTCGATGATAGTAGTTGTGATGGATAGGACTCAAAGAACGGAAGCGGGCAGCTGCAAAACATATCAATTATTTCGTGTTCATCTTATCTTTCAAATGTTTCTTACAATGCTCATCGTCTGAATCTAAATACGACGTGCCGGGCATGGCGGAATGGCGTCGTCTGCTTATCTCATTCGTCGATCGAGACATAGCCTATAAGAAGGTATCACATGTATATGATGGAAGTAAAAAACGGAGAACAAATAAATCATTAAAAAGATTTGAAGCTCAGAATTATTCATTGTCGACAGAAAAAGCTCAAGTTAGAATTGGGTGGGATTGTCAGCTATAGGAAGCATTCCATCTAGTCGAAGAGGGAGGAGAGGAGTAGAGGAGTGGTGGGGGGGGGAGCAGCTCAATACATAATTGTTTTCCTATTTTATTTAGTTTTCAAGAAATGTTAACGACGGTTAGAAACGTAAATTAATGGAACAATCTTCTTCTTCAATCGAAAACGCAAGTAAGACACTCCCTCTTCTTCTCTCTCTATCCTTCTCTATGCCTTGAGCTGATTTTTTTTAATTTCAGACTGACTGACCGCAGTGGTAGTTGTTGAAATTCGTTGAGGACTGCGACGTGGCTGTGTAGCTGATGAGCCAGAAGGAGGAAGATGCTCCTGAATGGGCAGAATATGCCCATTGTTCTCCATAATCTTGCCGTTTCCAATTTTATTAGAATCTTCGTGATTATCTATCAGACTCTCCATGTGTTGGTTAAGCATTACTTCAATTGATTTATTTATTTCTGAAACAAACTCAATTAAGACTCTCAAATGGAGAAGGAGGAAAGAAATGAAAACCTTTGTCTGATAAATCTATATTCGTCTCATTCTTATTTACATATGGCTTTTCTTCACAAAGGGTTTCTATTCCACTGATGATCTTAGCACATTCAGATTTTGTTAGATCTCTTGATGACCACGGGTTTTCTTGTCGATGAATAACAGTTGCTGAAAGTGCGTCTCATGAATGAGATGTAGTAAAAAAACAAAATTCAAAAAAAAAAAAGAAGAAAAAAATAAAAAATGTGCAATTAAAGAGAGAAAGAGAGAGAGAGAGATGGGTAGGTGGAAGAGAGAGCAAACATACCGAAGGATGATTTCTCAACTGTTGACTGAGGTGATGTAAGAGTAGAATCATCCACAAACGGTATATCAGATTCATCTTCGCTACGGCAACTATGAAGATTATGTGGGTGAAGTGAAATTTAATTAAATTGTCCATCAAACCTGCTACGCTGGTCAAGCTCTTCGATTGTTATTGAAGGCGACACTCCATTACTAGATGGAAGGCTCATGTTTTCAGTTGCCGGTTTGCTTCAAAGAAAAAAAAATATTATTCTTGTATCAAGTGAATGAGTAAACTAACTTGTTCAATGTTATTCTTCGATCGCGATTATCAATATAACGAAGGTATGGTGGTAGCTGATTATTTTCGAAGAACTTCAACGATTGTTCCGCTAAATCTCCGAACAATGTAATTGTAGCCTTTCGAGGTGTTGAAGCCAGAGATGAAGAGCTGTAGTTGCAAGAGCGATGTCGTCGACGTGGAGATATATGCAATTGTCTAAACTTTTCACATATTTCATCAAACAAAAACATGTTTGCCTTATAATTTTCTATTCAACGAGTGTTCGCTTATGAATTGAATTACACGTGAAAATCACACGTGACATACTACATTCTATTCAAATTAATTGGACGTGAAAGTTCACGTGGATCAGCGCGTGTGCAAGAGAAGCTCATTTTGGATTTGGTAGACGTGACAAACGGTTGTTTTCTTATTTCTCTCTCTCTATCTCTCTCTCTCTATCTCTCTCTCTGTGTCTATCTATCTCTCTGTCTGTCTCATTTTCGGAAGAAAAGGAGGAGGAAATGGAAAGGTATGTAAGACACAGCGAATCGTTTCCTGTTGCAAAACAGAATGAACATAGCATGATGCACTTTACATGTGCGAAAATGATAAGCTCCTTGCGTCCAAAAAAGGCAAATTGTAATTGAGGTTTTTCTATTTACATCTATGAGAACTGTGTATTGAAAGAGATAGGCTCAAAACTGATTCTATTGAAAGAGAAAACCATTTTCGAATCAAAGAACGTTCAAATGAAAAAAAAAGAAAAGAAAAAACACTTCGGCTTTCATACTTGAAGCTGAACTTCCGATGGAAATAATGCTGAATTAACGAAATGTATGAATATGATATGAGAAGTTTGAATTAAAACAACGATCAGTTGTCATGGGCTGAGCTTTCCTTATGATGAAAGAGAGAAGGAGGGAGAGAGGGAGAAGGAGGGAAACAGGCGATGGAAGGGAGAGACAAAGCATTGCAAATGGTGTTCGCTTCTGTTTAAGATTGGAAGATATGCGACGGCAGCAAAAAAAAAATAAAAGTAGAGTCAATGCAAAGGATTAATTTCCGTGGAAACGAAATATATACACACATACATACACACAGGAATGATACGAAAGAAAAAAAACCAGAGAGGAGCAGCAGAGAGAGATATAGCTTAGCGAGTACTGATGAGTGAGTAGTAGCAGAAGAGAAAAGCAGGTTGGAAGATAAAGATATAGATAAACATTCAAACGAACTTCATTCAACACAATTTTTGAGAACGAAAAAGCAAGAAGGATAGGTCGTCAGGAGTGGAACAATCGTCGAATCAAAAGAAAATAAAGAAAATACCTGGGTAGCGAGCCGAATGATCCCGGTAGCAAAGTTTGTTCGCTGACAAATCTTTTTCTTCCCGAACTCAGAGAATTGCTGTCTCCCCAATATAATTGTTCCAACAATGGTAAAGCTTTCTATATGAGAAACACGGAATGGCGGTTAACTTTCGTTTTGCGACTAGAGTTGATACCTTAGTTATACTTGATGAGGATCCTAAGCCACTCGTCTCCGGCAGGCAAGCTTTTGATATAGCTGTGAAAAGTCAAAATAAGATAATCGCAACTAGAACAACATAAATCATACTCTGGACAGATTCTATGAGAGATTGTCTGTTATTTTCATAAAGGGCTCCTTCCGAAAACGCGTACACAACGTCAACGAACCTAAAAATAGAGAAGCTTTTGCGTCTAATAACGATTTCCCAAAATATGGCTGAGCATTTTCCGACGGAAACACTAACAGTCATGCACCTCGTCCCATCATGGGTGAGGGAGAGACAAGCTTCGTTATCTACCTTTCAACTGGGCAGACGTATATTGAAGCAGGTCGCAAACGATTCCAAGCAATTCGTTCACAACTTGATTGTAACTAAATTTGGAAAATATTATTTGTCGGACACAGCCACTCACATATACTGTGCATGTTAGTTCGGAATCGCTGTCTTCTTCCACCAATACACGTACTGGAATTACCAGAAAAAAAACTAATTGTTCTTCAGATTGCTCGAAAGCTGAGGAAGGCACGAAACGCCAATCGGTTAGTGTTAATGGCTGCAAAGTAGAAGCGAAGATTGTTCAATTAAAAGCCAATTTGAGCTTACTTGAGCTTGTTCAATAGAAACTTGAGCATTTTCTGTTCGATATAAAACTTTGTGAGCATTAAGTTGTGGCTCGCTGGTGTATCGAACCAGTCGAGCGCCTGTTTCGGTTGTGTTGTCATCAGCATTGTTTCTGTAAGGAGGTATTTGGGTGGTCTGTATCCGTTGCCATGATACTTACGTTGTGCGAGTACATAAAAGAACACTTGTCTGAGCTAAATCACTAGAAAGGAAACGGTCCAGGAAGGAAGCAAGTCGTTTACGACGAGCTAATTCAACCACAGAAGACACTAATGACCAAACGAGGACTATCATCATACATCCCTATGCTAGTAGACATTGGCTTATTAGTATTATTACAAGCAGCCACAATAGGCAATATAAAACAACAACAACAGAACGATACAATGATAATCAGTGCTCTTTCACTCTTTCCACCTGTTCAAAAACTTGAATAGGTCTAGTTACTAAGAAATTTCTCAGCAGCTATCCCCAATTTAATCATTTTGATTACGGCTGACCAAACAAAATTTCATATTTTCGCCTTATTTGGCACGCATCATGGTGAGTTAAACGTTTAGACACGAAGCAATTGTATGAAAAGAATTATAAATTAGATGTGAAGGAAACTAAAGCAAATTCGATTCGCATACCTCCCAATACAAGCCCCCCTTCCTCACAAATGCTGTGTGAAGAGAGCAAAGACATGAAATAATAAAATAAAATAATAAAAATTATGTTTTAAACTGACAGACATTAGTAGCTTTGACGGTTTTTTTTGACTTTTGTTTGAACGCCTACGACTTTCTACTATTCTGAAAACTAGCAAGCAAAGAAATCGATAGAGCCCACATGCCCAAAGCAGTCCTGCTAGCACTGAAGCTGGCTACCGATGTTGATGACCATCACCCCCCATATGTGTGGATGGGAGGGCAAAATGACATTCTTTCCTCTCTCCTCTTACTATTTACCTTTCATATGCGAGTATATGTTGTCTTAAATAGAATTACTAATGTTTAATTGGAAATTCAACAATAAAATATCAACAAGTAACAGTTTGAAACTCAACAATGTTCGGTCTACTTAAGCAATTAGACCAACGTTTTAATAACAGCTTTACGGTTCTTATTCTTCCTCTTTGTATTTTTCTCAATCTGAATTAGAAGTAACTTGATATTATACAAATGCCATTATCGAACCTCGCTTATGTCGCTGAACAACTTCAAATCTTGTGCTTCTTCAAGCTCCAGCTTTAACAGCTCCAGAGCGGCCATATTTAAGCCAATCATATCCTAAACCAAACATCTGCTATAATCCCTAGCATATCCCCTTACTCTTATATCAGCTATTCCTCCAGGCATTTCTTTTCTCAATTTTTCAACAACAGTCAACATTTCAACTGAATTGATAACATGGGAGTGATGAACTCTTGAATATCAAAAATTACATGAGGGAATTGAGAAAGCAAGACTTACCTAATGAGGAACAAGGCTACACGAGAACATAATTCAATTTTGTAATGTTTGTGAACACAGAAGGATAAGCTTTTCAAAATATCAGCTATATAACTCAGAGGTACCATGAGCAAACATCTTTCTAGATTACTGAAATGAAAATATCAAAAAGCCAAAGGTATCTCTTTAAACCTGGGACGGCATTTTGCTATCACATCAACAATGAAATGATCTAAAGATTTGCTTCTGTAACTTTCGTACAAGGGATGTGGTTTATGCTGGAAAGGAAAACGTTGTTAACTTGACTTGTCCTGATGGTACAAACCGTGGGGTCGTTTTCGATCAGAAGCTTCTCGCTCCTAGCGATGTCTACGGCTTCCAAAATGTTTTCAGTCTTCAAAATTGCATTTACGATTACTCAGATTGTTGTTGATTTTACCGAGATAATGCTCTGTGCGTTTTTAGTTGTGGCTAATCCAGCCTCTGCCTCATTGTTTTCACCTGGTACCACATCGTCTTCGTCCAACAACTTCTCTTCGTATTCCTTTTCTCTGAAGAAAACACAATGGAATGGAAATTAGTTAGTAGACAACCAACCTTTCAAGCTCTTCTTCTTCCTCTAAAACAATAATTTCCTCTGTTAACTCCCAACAACGAATTGATTTGTCATTAGAAGCAGAAAACTAAAACAAGGGAGTGATACGATGAAACAAAAACAAAGCAAACCAGAAGACTTCCAGTTTCCGATTGAGCAAGGGCTCGTACAGGACCGAGATGTCTATCGAGAACCTATATTACGTTGAGAAGGTTGCAGAATCAAAGACTAATATCTCACTTGTACACGTTGAAGCTTAGTTGCATCCCATTGCTTAACCTTTCCATCTTTTCCTGCGGACCACACAAGAAGTTCTTCAGATGGGGAGAACATAACAGCAGATACACTGAACACAGAAAATACATAAATCACATGTGAAAGTGCACGTACACATCATCATGGGCATGGAAAGATTTGTGACAATCACCGAAGTCCAAACCCCAGATCTTGATGCTTTTGTCAGCGGAGCCAGTCACAACAAGCTTACTATCCTGAAGAGCGACCAATAAACTTTCTCATTGAAGAAATGACTCTTACCGGACAAATAGTAACACAAGTTACTGGTAAGGAATGTCCATAAAGTGAAACGAAGAACTTCAGAGTATCCAGGAAAAAGACACTGCATGTGTTATCGAGTAAACCAACAACGAGGAACTTGAAAGAACACGAAATCAAAAAAGAAACTTTAGGACGTGATCATACCTTTCCGTTTGGAGAAATAGCGCAACAAAGTGCTTCATCGTTGACATCCAGTGTTTGCTTCTCACGGATTGATAAACGTTTCATGGTTCCTTCAGACACGAGTTCATAAGTCCAAAACTTGACTTTCTTGTCAGACGAAACGGTTACGAAGCCCTAAAGATGAAAAAAGATTTACTTGAGCAGCCTGCAAGACAAAACCGTTCTATCCGGTAACTGTACAATACTCCAAATGGCGCCTTCGTGTTCCTTCTTGCTTTCTAGAAGTTCACAGCTTCCTATGTTCCACAGATGCAAATAACCAGTCTTTAATGAAAAAGTTATAAAAAGTAAAACACAAAATCAAACCTTGGTACCGGCTAATACATGTTTATCACCAGTAACAAATTGAACACAAGTGATTTCGCGCATACTTTCATCCGTAAGTGTAGCGATTGGGCGAAGTGAATGAGTGTTCCAGATTAGTAACTGAATTGAAAACCTCACAACAAGAATCAATAGAAAAGTGAACCTCGCTTCCACCTCCTGAAGCTATTCCGTTGCTTGATGAAGTAACTGAAAGACTTCTGATATCCTCTCTGTGACCAAGCTGAAATAAATAGTAGAAATAAGAAAACTGTCAAAGCTTTACCTTTTCCAGATTGTATTGAACTTCGCCAGTAATTGTATTAGATGAAATATCAGCCTCGAACTTGAGCATTTCAACATTGTTATCGAACGTGAGTGCATAAGCCTGTAACACGAACAGTTAAACGACATATGAAAAAGATTGAATACCGCGTATCCTACTAAGTTGCCCTCAGATTTAGTTAACTTAGGAGTGAAATCGATCCATTTGATTTTCGTATCGCCTCTATAGTCTCCAACACGAGTTATCCAGATTGTGACGTCCTTCTTTACTTGAGAAGTGGTTACATCATCTTTAGAACTAGAAAAGAACTCTTCAAGAGGAAAATACAAATGAATACTCACGTTGCTTTCCTCTTAGCGGCGCTGAGCTTCTTGGATAAACGTTTTATTGATTCTTCCTCGGTGAAAACACGATAAATATCCACCAACTTGTCTGATCCCTGTAAAGAGGTTTTGAGAAAACGAGGATAAACGCGACTGCAACCGCTCGCAGCGACAAGATAATAATAAATGAAACTGTTCGTTACGTGAAGCGAAGCACGCGCACAAAAATTAGCATACGTAATAGCTAAGAGCTCAAAAGTTGCATACAAAACTTACCAAACAGAACAAGTAGCGGTTGTCGGTTGAGAGAGAAAGTTGGAGAGCACGTCCTTTACATTGACGAAGAAGTTTTCCTTTCAAAGCAACGCGGACATATTTCTAAAGCTGAAGATCATTAGTGAAATTCAGACAAACGCACGTTCTCCATGTCTTCTGTTTCATCATCTTCTTTGATATCTAACAAGGATTTCTTGGCTGTGGGGGCCTCATTCTCTTCGTCTTCCTTTTTCTCATCGCCCATCCAATTAATTTGGAAAACTAATAATTCTAACTCGGATGTCGCAGCAATTAATAACTTATCATCATTTAATAAAGCAAAAGAATATATCTGAAAAGGCAGATCATAATGACATCGGGAAATGAAAAGACAAACCTCAGAATGACTGTCGAGAACAGTGTAGAAGCAGGACTGACTAGCAATGCACCAGAACTTCAAAAAACTATCTTTTGAACTGAAATACATGGTGAGGATAGAAGCAAACGATACTAATTACGCTGTGAGTAAAAATTTGTCGTTCTTAGAGAACTGTAGGTGAGTAATTGAGTCTTTATGGCCATTAAGTCGGAACATTCCGCTTTCAGAGACGATGTCCCAAAGAATAACTGTACAATCCTTAAACCGAGAACGCTGAATATGGTCAAGTCTAACAATCGAACCTTTCCTCCTGAAGCTAGTGTTAGACCGTCATGACTGAAAGCTAAAGAGTTGACTCCCTTCTTGTGTCCAGAAAACATAATGCTTTCTCCTCCTGCAATAAACAACTTGGAAAATGTCAAAGAATGTCGAATCAAACCTTCCTGTCTGTCGAATAGACGGATATTTCCATCTGCGTAACCGACGGCAAGCCATCTCTTATCATGACTGAACTTCAAACAAGTAGCAGCTTTGGTGGATTCCGATATTTCAAAAACCTGCGATAGAAAGAGGTAAAGCAATAGTACTTCGAATTGAACAAACTTTTTCAGATGTTTTAAGATTATAAAAGGCTACATTCTCACAAGCTGTGACAGCGCAAGTAGTATTATCGACGGCGATAATAGCTCCATTGGATGAACCTAGGACGGAACATGAACCTCCATGTTCATATCGTAAATAATCCTTAGTTATTCCCATCTCTAATAAATCGAATGTAATGCTCCGAAGTTTCTTGATAAATTCAAAATAAGAAGGTCACAACAACCTCGTTCATCATCACAAACAGCTTCATATTAAAATAAAACTCTATTTATTAAAACGGTAAAACAATAAATATTCTTCTTTAAGGGTCTCGTGCAAGTACAATAGCAGTTCGGCATGGGATATAGAGAACCACATGATTTCTACGACCAGCATAATCGTATGGATAACTCTTATATTCGGTGCTTTCCTCAATTCTCGAATGACCTCCAAAGTCAGCGTTGTCACTGTTGAGGACCACTCGGTATCTGTATTCATCAGAAATATTTGAATGATTTAGCTTTATCCTCACGTTCCAGCAGCATCTACACCAACTTTGTAATCAGGGAAACTGGAGGATGGATGGAAGTTGAAAACGAATAACAAGCCTGCTCTCTCAAAGCAAACTACTTTGTCAGAGTCATGCTTCCAGCTGACGTATGCCTTAGAAAGGTAGAATAGCTAGATAAGCATTCATGTAACATACTGGTCCCTTGTGAAGGAATCCTGTCTTCTCCTCAAGATTATTCACTGCTCGATCCCAGTTGTTGAGGAACTTATAACGAAGTAACTCATCGTCGACAAGATTGAATTGACGACGGCAGTAATGGAATGACTCCTGATTACCTTCTCTTGGGAAATCTAACCATTCGGGGTGTCCGAACTCGTTACCTCAAATCATGAGAGGTTGAAAAAAACGAGAATATGTTCACACCTATGAAATTGAGCCAAGCTTCTCCACCAAGACCGATAGTCAGAAGTCTAATGAGCTTATGCAAAGCGATACCACGATCAATGATGGGAGTCAATGGAGAGATGCAAGACATGAAGTCATACATTTCTTAAGAAGATCATACAAATAGAGAAAATAATACTTAAAGCCCACCTTTGTCCATCATCCAGAAGGCTAAGGTTTTGTCACCGACTAAGGCTTGGTCATGAGATTCAGCATAAACTACATGGTTCTCACCATATCTTAAAAGGATCGATGTGATCGTAATGAACTCAAGTTAAACCTGCGATTCTCCAGAGTGAATACAATATCACCGACTTTCCAATCCTCATCTTGTTGATGCTTAAGAATCTTAATCCACATATCAGGAACAGCCATAGCTAGTTTCATATCGAATCCTTGTCCTCCTTCTTCAACAGGTCGGCACAAAGCGGGCATTCCTGATACTTCCTACAAGATGTTCAAAGCTATTGGTTACATGAGACCTGAACGTACCTCAGCAATTGTGATTATATTGGGATATTTGCGATGCAAGAAGTCATTGGCTAACATCAAGTAAATCAAAGAGTCTGTGTCAGCATTCAAGCCAAAATACATCTTGTATCCACCGGAGAAATCATCGTCTAGATTCACATCAATAGAGATATAATAAGGATGAACACTTACTTATTCCGTGAGAATGGTAGATCATAGAAGTGACACCATCGAAACGGAAACCATCGAAACCATATTCATCAACCCACCAACGAAGGTTAGATAGTAAGAAACGTAAAGTTTCAATTCTAAATGAGAATTTACCATATGATAGTTAATGTTTAAACGAACTGAGTGTAATCGAACAATCTGGAGTCCCACAAGCTGTGGAATCCTCGAGCATTGTTGTGGAAATATCCGCCTGGAGTTCCGTCCCATTCGTTCAAACCATCAGCAACATTCTTTGAAGCATGAGAATGAACCTGAACACAACCAAATAAGGATGATAATGATAGCAAAAACATACGACATCCAAGAACATGCTAATTCCGAGGGAATGAGCCTTATCAACCAAGTACTTCAACTCATCAGGAGTACCAAAACGACTAGAAGCAGCGAAGAAATTCGTCACTTGATATCCGAAAGAAGCATAGTAAACGTGCTCCATAACTGCCATAAGTTGGACAGCATTGTAGCCTTGAAACAACAGAAAATAAAACAGTAAAACTATGAACAATCACCTTGATGCTTGATTCTTGGTAAGACCTCATCAGCAAATGCACGATAAGTATTAACTTTGCCTTCTGGTGAGCTGATACCAACATGAGCTTCATAGATTCTCAATGACTTTGATGGTGTAGGCTTAGCATGTTGGAAGGTATAACGAGTAGTAGGATTGTAAAACTCCTAGAAGCACTGATTATTTCAACTTCAAAAGAATACACACCTGTTGGTAAATGATACTGTCCTTAGGCCTTGTGACAAACTGAGCCCAGGGGCTTATTTTGTCGTCTGTTTTGCCATTTTTAGTAACGGAAACCTAAGCGGAACATTCAATGAACAAAGTATTTTTAGAAATGAGTTACCTTCAAGCAGGATCCGTGGGCAATAGGACATGAGCCATCAGCCTTGGCTGGAATAACGAGGGACCACTTCCCATGTTCTTCTTTCGTGTATCTATGAGCTTCTCTATTCCAGTTATCTTAAGGATCGAATGATCTTTCGAAAAACGAATAGTGAACGAATAAAGAATTAACTTAAAGAAAAACGTTTCATTTGAAACTTTGAATAAGATATCGTGGTGGGACCAAAATTCAATTAAAAAGGTTTCAAATATGGGTTAAGCTTCATAATTTCCTGGCTAATTATTCTTTTCGAAATGAATTTTAATTTTAAAACTTACTGAAATCTCCGATGAGAGCTAAGCCATCAGCTCCTGGTGCCCATTCCAAGCATTTGATAGAGTTGTCCGGCTGCACAAGGAGTCCGAACTCCTTGTAGCCTTGTGTGAACGATTCCATTCCCCCACACTAAGTGAGGTGTCTTCAGAAGAAGTTATTATGATAACCAACCTCATCAATCCTTCTGGAATAATCCTGGAAGACAGAATATCTTCTGCAGATTTCATGACCGAAGTCTCTTAGGTAAGGGTCAAGTTGAAAGACATTCTCTAGTTTACTTGGAACTGCGGACATTTCTGGAATATGATAAGATTGCTTGAAAATTAATAGATTTCCATTCATTGTTGAAAACAAACAAACTCAAAAAGTAATAAAAACGAAATCAACGCGATAGTCGAGAACTAAGTTATCAATAAGAAATCAAGTAAATGAAAACATTTCCCCTAATCGATCCCCTTCTTTGTCTTATCTTTTAACATTTGTAGTTCGGTAAATCAAAACAATTAAGTTAATAGCTGTATCGAGTTTTCTTGGACAAACTACGAAACTTTAATTTACACCTTATCGATTCAAAAAAGACAAGTGGCGTCCTCGACATTTGTGCCATCGCAGGTTTTCTTTTCTAGGTTCAATATGCTACATTCATTGTCCCATGATTACTTATCAGAGTATAAACTACTGTCATGGCCACCATTCTCGGATCGTTCGGCAGGTTAGAATGCAACCGTTCTGAGGTCGGCAAAGAAGTCAGAACGCAACCGCTCTGACGTCGGTAGAGCTATCAGAATGCAGCCATTCTAGGATGGTTGTAAGAATGAAATGCAGTCGACAGAAATTCTTATCTAACAGCATTACAAGAAAAGAACAAAATTTGTGGATCAGTACCATAGGACCTAACTGTTTAAGATAGAGCTTTTGACAATATCATTGAGAGCAAGGAAAACAAGAGCAAATTAATATAATTTATGGAATAAATAAATAAGTGTTTATTAACATTCACAGTTCATAAGAACTTGCTTCAGCTCTGCGATAATTGTGGCAACCTGGAAAGATATATACTTCACTGACACTCTACGGTCGGACATACATCTGCTTTAGTTGATTCACGTCCGAAGCTGAAACGAATGGTTCTTGAAGATATCTCATAGGCCACTCCGCAGCTTGTGAGAATGGCGCTGAAATGATTATGATCTCCTGAGAAAACGATTAAGATTCGAAATTTTTCTTTGTTTTGTTTAACTGTTTCACAGTCAATCAAGAGCTTAGAAACCAGCTGTCCTGAGGTCGGTCGAGAGTTATAAAGCAACAGTTTTGAGTTTGGAAAGGATGTTGGGATGCAACCGTTCTGTGGTCGGTAGAGGAGATAGAATGCAACCGCTCTGGGGTCGGTAGAGGAGATAGAATGCAACCGTTCTGAGGTCGGTCAGAAAGTTGAAAGCTTCTAGAAATCGAAGAGACGAAAGAATAATTCGATTTCACAGTGTTAAACAAGAGATTGGAGGAAGAACATGAGTACAGTATTGTGAAAAGGGTTAAAAGTATTTGATTTGAGAAATATTTGGATCATGCTAACCTGACTGCACCAGTGTGACAAGCAGCTCCAGTACTGGCAAGAAAAGCCTTGCAGCTGAACAATAAATAGAATATCAACATTATTTTTGGCGTAATACCTTTCTAGAAGTTCACATGCATTACCCGGATAGTTATGGAAAGATACGCTGCTGGTATTAGGTAGACGGGGAGAGGTTTTGAAGTTGACAACATAATTATTAGGTAATTCAACCTGTGAACTCATGTTTAATTTTCAGTACTAGTAACATACGTTAAGTCTTTCTTCAAAATAGTCTCGGACATCCAGCAAGTGATGATTGTACATATCAATGTTCTGATATGACAGCTTAGCAGCTGCTCCCAAACCCATGATCATCGGGGTGTTCTCAGTACTGTTAGGAAAAGGAATCTTACTGTTTTTAAATATTAAAATCCAACCCAGATCTGAATCCAAACTCTTGATTTCCTCCAAACAGTAGGGGTTTCAAATATAAAGACTTCCAAGGTTCTCGAACAATCAGTGCACCATTTCTTGGACCATAGAACTGGAGCAAAAATATTTGCATTCTTCACATATTGGAGCTACCTTGTGTCCAACTACGGTAAGAGCATCAGCACCGAGCTCTACGAGATCAACTTTCATTTTTCCAATCGCTTGTGATGCATCAGTGTGGAAGAAACAAGCGCCACCTTGGAGAATGTAAATGAATAAAGATGATGATATAATTTGTTACCGAGTTTGGCCTCATTTTTCTTGAGAATATCAGAAATTCCTCGAATAGGTTGGATTACACCAGTCTCATTATTTGCGAGCATAACTGTTACAAGACATGTATTATCGCGGAGTAGCTGCTCGAAACAGTCGAGATCTATTACCCCAGTTTCCAAACTGATATCGCATTCAGAAAGCTCTGAGAGTACATGACCTTGAGAAGTCAAAAAAAGTAGAATTACCTATGATTTTATGGTTAACGAGATCATGTAATTTGTTCAAAATGGACGGATGCTCAATAGCGCTACAAATAACATGAGGGATCTTTGATGGATTGCCCTCAATATACTTGGAAACAGCTGAATGAATAATCCAATTATTCGACTGAACTTTAGTACTTATAGACGTTGATCGAAATACAAACCTCAGTTCCTCCAGATGTGAATATTACTTCATGTTTTTCTACATTGAGAAGGGTTGCAATATGGGTTCGTGCAACATCAATTTCTTCAGCCGCTTTGCTAGCTGAAGTGATAATACATTTCTAATAGACAGTGCCGCGAACTATTACATAGTGGATGGTTGCTTGAAGGGTTCGCCCACAAATATAGCCCCTCGTTTACGGCAGCCACAACATCTGGTTCCAATGGCGTGGTAGCGTTATAATCCACATAAATTTGAGGAATATTCGGTCCTTCACAATTAATTTCCATTTTCGAAATCATATTGAAAGGACACTCGCGTTCACGCTCGCGCAAAACTTGGTATCCTGCCCTGAATATATTTAACATCCAAAACTACTTTAACTTGGAAACTCTTACTTGGTATTTCTTTCCTATTTTCAAGAAGCTTTTAAATGTTTGAGCATTCAAGCTTCTCACAAATTCTTTCGAGAATTTTTGAAAAGCAAGATATCGACTATTTAATACATACTGTTGCCATTCAACAAATCAAACAACGCAACATTGCGTATACAAATTATTTTCGCTCTGAAAAGAGTTATTCTTACATTCTATTGTTACTCGATTAATATAGAGCTATGGCATCCACTGCTGCTTCCAACAACACACTGACTGCTGCTGAACAAGAGAATCAGAAGAAGGTTGTTGAAAAGTTCCAAGTTCTTCGTGAGGAGCAGCAAAGTCTTGCCGGCGAAATCACAAGAATCGAGGAAGAGCGTAGGGAATATGGGTAAGATCCATTTCAAACTTACCAATTAATTACTTGTTTAAGACGTGTGATAGACCAACTTAAAACTTTGGATGGAGCTCAACGTGCCTTCAAAATGATCGCTAACAGTTTAGTCGAGTATAGTGTCGAGGAGGTGATTCCAAGTCTCGAGCTCAACTATGCAAACGTAAATCGTACAGTTGAAAGTTCAATTACCTGGAAACTCTTTCAGTTAACCAAGATATCGGAGGATCTCAACCAAAAGCTGGTGCAGAAAGGAACGGAGTTGAATGACCACAAGTCCAAGCATAATATCCGTTTCTTGACTGAAGAAGAGACCACCAAGCTACGCGAGCTGAAGCTTCAACAAATCCAACAAATCAAAAAAGAATAACTTGTTCTGCTTACCTTGTTATCTAATGTTTGACTTTTTTTGCCTATTAAAGCTTTAGCTATCCATTGTTACGTTCATAAGAATCGGTTCTTTCCTTAAAATACCGAGCACCACCAGGTTTCGAAACTTATGCAACATTCAGGAAATGACAACACTTAATGATGTTATGTATTCTTCTGAGGAAGATGAGAATGAGGTAGACGACGGAGAACCTGTAGCAACATTCGAACCCATTCGTAAGAAAATCGTAAAAAGAAAAAGAAAAGTAAGCCCGCCCAACTACTATTTCATATGCTGCATCTCTTCTACCAGGTAGAAGAAGTTGATGAAGACAGTGAAGATGATGAAGATGATGATGACGATGTCGACGATGAAGGCGATGACAGTGATGACGATGACAGTGGAGACAGTGAAGATGACGAAGATGAAGAAGATATAGACGATGAAGAAGGTCTGGAAGACGAAGAAGGTCTAGAAGACGAGGACGAAGAGGAGCTAGAAGTACAAGGAATGGAGAAAGTAGAAGACGAAGATGATGTCGAAGACGAAGATGACGTAGAGGACGAAGATGGCGTAGAAGACGAGGAAGCTGAAAATGATAACCAGGATGAAGAAGAGGAAGAAGTCGAAGAAATTAATGAAAATAGTCTGAAAGAAGGAGATGAAGGATATGAACTCGATGCATTGAAAGTACAACAACCTGAAGCAGTGAGTTTTAATGAATCCGACCGGTTCATCTGAAATAATATCTGAAAATGATTTCTTGCGAGTGAAGAATGAATCGTTCTGTTCAGATTCCCGATTTCGCTGATGAAACTTTAACGTTTGCCAAGTTGAATACTCCAAATTGGTTAATCGAATGTTTGGAATCTCTAAGAATATCGAGACCGACTCCTGTTCAGGTAGATGAAGACTATTCAAGAGTTTTTCTATGCTGGGTTACAGGCTGCTTGCATTCCTCGTATCATGGAGGGATCTGATGTTCTCGGTTGTGCCAAGACCGGTACAGGAAAAACTTTAGCCTTTGCTATACCGATTTTGAAAAAGGTACTTCCCGACTGTTATTCCAGTAAAGTCTACTGTCTTTTCAGCTTTCGATTGATCCATACGGAGTGTTCGCTCTGGTTTTGACTCCCACACGTGAACTGGCCGTACAAATTGCCGATCAGTTCAGGTCGATTGGAGGTCCAATTTGTTTGAAACTAGCTGTGATTATTGGGGGCGTGGATATAGTAAGTTTCATGCTATCTTCTTAACATTGAGTCTACTCTACCAGATTCAACAAGCGAATGAGCTCCAGAAGAGACCTCACATCGTCGTAGCCACTCCAGGACGTCTTGCTGATCTCGTCGAGAATAATGAATCATTTACAAACGTGTTCAAGTATGATCTAAAGATTTTCACTCAATTTCTGATTGCTATATAGGAAAGTTCAATTCTTCGTTATTGATGAGGCTGATATCATGCTTGATGGTCAGTTCAATGCCGATGTGAGTTTCAATCTCGCATGAATATGCTAATTCCTCACTCTTATAGCTCAAAGTCATCTTCGACGCTGTGCCAAAGCAACGACAAACTCTTCTTTTCTCAGCCACTTTATCATCATCTATAACTACACTACATAGTCTATCAACTAGAAAGCCTTACTTCTTCGAGGATAAAGCTAAGGTTACAACAGTCGCAAATTTGGAGCAGAAGTATGTCCTATGTCCTCAATATGTAAAAGATGCATACTTGGTGAGTGTTCAATCCAATACCGTTCCTCAAATACCATTAATTAGGTATACGTTGTCAAAAACTACATCGAGCAGAACCCAACCAGTTCGGTTCTAGTATTCGCTCAAAGTTGTCATGAAGCTCATGCCCTCAGTTACATGTTCGTCGGATTAGGATACCAAGTTTGAGAATTTCAACATCATATGTTTAAAGCAAGCTTTAGTGTGGAGTTCTCCACTCTCAAGTTCCTCAGAAAGTTCGTTCTGCCTCCTTAGCAGCCTTCAGAAACAAGAGCAAGAGGGTTCTAATTTGTACAGATGTAGCAGCTAGAGGATTGGATATCCCACATGTAAGTGATTTGAGAATGAGCTTCTAATATCCGTTTCAGGTTGATTTGGTGATCAATCATAACATACCTCGAAGCCCTAAAACCTATGTGCACAGAGTAGGAAGATCTGCTCGTGCTGGACGGTATGTAACTCTCTCTGAATCTTCTTAATATCTCTCCAATTAGATTCGGTTCTGCACTTAATTTCGTTACCCAATATGATATTAATCTGATGAAAGCTTGTGAGGAATACGTAGGAAAGAAGTTCGAAGAGTTACAGGTTTGTTTTCGATCATGTTCCGAGTAGAATCTTCTTCTTTCAAGATCAATCATGCAAAGGTCGTCAAATATACAACGAAGGTTCTGGTGTCAAAGAAGGAAGCAGAGTTGAAGCTCGAAAGAGAAAACTTTGAAGAGAGAGGAGACACTAGAAAGAGGCTACAACTCATTATGTCTGGACTGACTGAGGAAGAGGTGAGAACAATTGAGTTATGTTAGTTGTAATTTATAATCTAGGCTGACGATTTCCTTGATGCTAGGAGGAACCTTAAGCAAGGACAAAATCATAAGAGCCGCCCTGATCGCAAAAATGAGAAATTCCAAAAATCTGATAGAGCCCCTAGACAACAGAAAGATGACAAACCAGAACAGAAGACACTGAAAAGCGAACCAAGTAAAAAGGTAGCTAAACTAGACGTGAAGACTAAGAAGAACACAGTGAAGAAGGCTAAAGTTGCAAAAAGCAAGTAAAAATCTTTGTTTTTGTTTTCGTTAATTTTGTTGTTGAAGTATTAAGTTTATAAAACTTTGTCGGATTCCAACATAACAAGGCAAGGATAACAATAACAATAACAACAACGACTTCCTTAACGGGAGATAGTATTAAAGGTTTAAATCATCGTCAGGATCACTGTCGTCTAGATCATCTCCGTCATCCGGAGTATAAATAATTTGTCCTCCGACGCGCACTTTCTTATCAGAAAGCCGTAAGTTGACTAGACCCTCTTGGGTTTGGGTTGAGAGATATGGCAATTGAAGAGCATCTTTAGCTGATTTCTCGGAATCCTGAAGCTTGAGTGATTAACGAGAATGTGTATGTAATGAAAACCTTCAACGTAAGTCCGACATCGAAGGGAGTTTCGAGAGACAGATTATCTGATGATTCTTCTTTGCACTCATATTTCTTACAGTTCAATTGTAAATCTGGACTAACCGTAAAAGATTCTTGCTGAAATACAAAACTGAACTGGGAAAAGATGACAGGAGGACTCACCAAGGCTTGTAGCTTTCCATTTTTCTTTATAGAAGTGATGTTTGACAGAAAGAGAGATCCCTCTTTGTAAACATCCAGGAAACTATCAGCGATTGAACAGAGCCTGTTCCATTGGTTTAGACTCACAGTTTGATAATGACAGAAAGCGGCAACGACCATAAAATAATCTGAAAAGCTATATATGGAAACAGGAATGGAGCACAGGAGAGAAACCTTTCAAATCATTCATCAACATGGCAACTGAATCTACTCCGTAAATATCTAAAAGAATTTCTATACAATCAATGACACATAAGCCATTGTTAGATGAGGACTTGAGGATGTTTTCTTTCAGAACAGACAACCTCGAGAAGTCATCGAAGTAGACGAAGGAACTGAAAGATAACGGATGTGAAGAGTTCGAAAGATGATCAGAAGCTTACTTCTCATCTACTCTACACGCATATCTGTTAATGAGTTGGTCTTTTCGACCTTTTAAAGTTACGACTACGACCTTATTTTGTTTGGTTAAAGAATACACGATAGGCTCTCCAAAACATGAGGAAGAATCTGAAAAGGCGAACAGTCCAATGTCATATTCAGAGACGCATATACCTTTTACTAAAATAACACCTTGTAATTGATTAGAATCCAGAAACATCCTTCCTAAAATAAATATGAGAACAGCTGACAAGTGTGAGAGCCAGATATGGAACGACTACGACATTGGACCGAGAGGATAACAACCATAAATGGAAGTGTTTATTGATTACTTAGTTACCAACAACAATGACTAAATTTATTATAAATAAATTAGGATGCAAACTATAAAATGAATCCATAGAGACCACAGATGGGAAATGTACTTCACAAGCACATGTACTTAAGACCTGTTGAGATAAAAAATTCATGAAACCAGATGTAAGAACATCATTTTCGACAACCATCTCTGACTGTCATGCAAATATGAATTCCTCAGATCATGGGTGGGGGAGGGGGGTACAGCTTCGAAAACGTAAGTAAAATAAGTATGGGTATTAACAAAATATCTAAGCTGTTTCAGGGGCTGACACACTGAGATCCATCTTAGCATCATTATCCTCCGAAGCTTCCGCAACATCAGTAGCAGATGCTGAGGTGTCTGCTTCTGTGGAGGCGGGGAGCTCACTTGTATCCATAGCTTCATCTTCAACATCTGAAATGAGCGTATGAGCTGGAGTTCGTTCCGAAATAAACTAACCTTTCTTCAACTCTTCTTCTTCATTCTTCGCTTCTTTTTCTTGAGGTTCTTCAGGAACCTCAGGAGTAGCAGCTACAGGTTCTTCTGTTGCTGCTGGGGCTCCTTCTTCAGCCGGAACTTCACTAGTTTCCTGAGCTGGTGCCGATTCCTCTTGAGAATCTCCATCAGCTACTTCATCTGTCTTGGTATCAGCATGAAGAGCTGCGAATTTGGGTTGAATTCCAGAGAGTTGTTGATTCAAAGTGGGAGTGACGAAAGGACCAGGAGGTGGTAAAGGAGATTTTCCTGATACGGCTGCCGAGTCCTTCGATGTTAAACGAGACAAAATCCTGGAAACAAACAAATTGTTGGTAAACCAAATGAAAGAAACACTCACTGTCTCTCAGTCATCTGAAGACGCTCTGTTACAGGTCGCAATTGTGCTAAGGTGGCGGGAAGTCGAGAAACGTCGTTCTTCATATCAGAAAGAAGTTCTTCCAACTGATTAAGAACTTTGTGCAGAACTGCACTGGCGTTTCTGTTTCCTCCACTTCCATCCTTGGCAACAACGGCATGAGCATCAGCAATGTTTTCGATATCAGCATATCGTTGAGCGAGTTGGGTTGTTCCATCAGAGTTAGTACTTTGAATATTCAAGTGAGAAGCTCGTCTGAGCTGTTCTTCAATTACAAGTGCTTGTTCAAGAAGCTGAAAATGGAGTTGAACAATGGCTAGATCAATTGGCATACCTTGAATCTTCGTTGTAAGAACTTAGTTTTCATTTCAACGAAGTTGCTAGTTTTGTTTTGTTCTACTTCAAATGGTTTGTTAATGATTGAGAATCTCAAATCTGATTGGATATCTTGATAACGTCCATAACCGAATCTAAAGAAGAAGTTTGAATCAAGAAACTGAGTAGAAAACATACTGGACGATTCCAGCAAGTAGCCAATAATCATGTCGTCGATGCCAGATTTCGAATTCTTTACCCGGATTAGCAGCTCTCTCTTCGTTGAGCCAAAGTGTGTGAAGCTCAGTGAACCCTCCATCTTAACACAAAAGTTAGTATTATTGGTACAAGAATCATTTTTACCAGCAATATTGAACTTGAAGCTTGGTCTTGGCTGCTTGGGCTTGGACTCAGGCTCTTCTTGCTTGATTTCAGGAACTGTGGTATCAGCCTCGTTCTCTTTATCTCCTCCAGTCTCAGCTGGGTTAGGAGTGTCCTCAGCATTTCCTTCTGTTTTATCTCCGTTAGCGACACTTTGTTCTCGACTATTAGCTTTAGATGAAGCAGCAGTCTTGGTGGCACCAGCAGCAGCTTCAAGAAGCTTGTCGCGTTCCTCGGGAACAGACCATTCTCCGTTACTGGATTCGAATTCCTAATAAAAAAAAATCAAACACGCAAAGGATAGAAAAACTACCTGACATTTCCTTCTGATAAGACTGAGAATTCCAATTCTGGTGAGAACTGTTTGACGGTTTAAACCTTCTCTAGGCACTCCATCATTGAAAGAATCTAAGGCATCAGCGCCAGGTTCACACAAGTGACGCATGAACAAGGACGTGTAAGCCTTGAAAGCCCTTTCAGACTTTCCTTTGAGATCACGTGTCAGCCATTGAGACTGATAGGCATCAGCCGGTGGCATACCCCATCGCATTACAGCATTGTAGAAGGCACGTCTTTGTCGTGGATTGAACCCAAGAACTTCCAATTGCCCGTTAACTTTAGCAAGTAAAGGTGGAAGCTTCTCTGATTCACGCTCTCTCTTTCTCTTTGGATCTCCACTGAAGTCATCGTCACTATGATCACCTGAACCTCTTTCAGATGCAGCATCATAAGATGAAACATCATCATCATCTTGGCTTTGTTGCTGTAATTAATTGTATTAAACTGATCGCCAAACTGTCTAGTCAAACCTCTCTGTTCCAGTCTTGCACCATGTTTTCACTAGCGTAGTTAACTTGTTTACGTAATCGCTTTCCTTTTCCTAGTCTTTCAGCTTCAGTTTCCTGCACGTGTTCATAATGATGACGAAGAAGTCTCTCCCAGAAGTCTGGATCAGGTTCTCTATCACTGTCTTTGATGATCTAACAAGAGAGGTGTAAAAAATTGAAAAACAAAGTTAAAAACCTCCATATCATCTTCCTCCTCATCTTCTTCTTTGTCTTCGGCTTCTTTCGTGTTGTAAGTAGCAACTTTGAAGGAACTGAGGTATTCGTTAGTCCAATGTTTTTCATCCTTTCCGTCCTTCAAAGCCTCCTCATCACGGGTACGATCAAGGAGGGCATCAACTGCGGCTTCATCCCAGACAATTTCTTCTTTGTCTTTACCATCTTCAGTCATTTCTTCATCTTTGAACAACTCTTCCGTTCCCCATCTGATATGTAATTTCATAATCACGTACGTAAGAAGACAAAAGCATACCGTAACACATCATCCAATTCGCTTTTGCTCATACTTGGACCCTTTTGTCCGAGACCAGCACGTACGACAAGATGAGTCAATAACATCTTCTTCTTTGCGACGGAGGTAATTCGTTCTTCAACAGAGTTTCTTGTTACGAAACGGTAAATCATAACTTTGTTCTGTTGTCCGATACGATGAGCACGAGAGAAAGCCTGAAGGAGAAAACAAAAGATCAGTCATATCATCGGATACGACAAACCTGAATATCATTGTGAGGATTCCAATCAGAATCATAAATGATGACAGTATCAGCAGTGGCCAAGTTAATACCCAAACCTCCAGCACGAGTGGAAAGGAGGAAAACAAACTGTTGAGCACCAGGAGCTTAAAAACAAGTATGAAATAAGAAATAAGAAGTGGTACATACCATTGAAACGATCGATAGCGTCTTGACGAGCTTGTCCTGTGATAGAACCGTCGATACGTTCATACCTATAGCTTTCAACTTCACAGAAATCTTCAAGAATATCCATCATCCTGAAATTGTACGAGTAAGAACCACAGGCAGACAATAGTAGACATACATGGTCATCTGTGAGAAAATAAGAACACGATGTCCTCCATTTTTGAGTTTTCTCAGCATTTGCTGCAGAAGGATGAACTTTCCAGAGTTCTTGATCAAATTGACTCCTTCATACATGCCATTCTTGAGCTTAGGTGCTTCCAAACTTGCTTTGGGGAACAAGTATGGATGATTACAACACTTTTTGAGCTCCATAATGATATTGATAAGAGACATTTGAGATCCACCATTCTTAACATTGAGAGCTTCGAAGTTACGGGTTAAGATATTCTTGTAATACTTCCTACAAACAAACAGATTCGATAAGAAGTCATAGTAGTTCACTCACTTTTGCATAGGACTGAGTTCAAGACGAACGATAAGTTCACTCTTGGAAGGCATTCCAACCAATACATCAGATTTCAATCTTCTAAGCATATGAGGTCCGAGAAGAGAGTGAAGCTTTTGAATTTGATCTTCTTTCGAAATCTCAGCAAATTCGCTGGTGAATGACTCGAGATCACTAAAGAAAAGAGCAAGGTTAGATAGAAATACAAGAAGAACTCTTACTAGAAACGGTCGGGAGCTAAGAAATTGAGTAAATGGAATAACTCTTCTAAATTATTTTGAAGAGGAGTACCAGTAAGTAATACACGATAGTCAATTTTATATTCTCTGCAATGAAATTAGGATGAGTCTCAGATCAGCATCAGTTATCTAACCGTAAATTTTTGAAGAATGTTGATTGATTGTTTTTCAAACGATGAGCTTCGTCGACTACAAGAGCAGCCCATTCAATGGAAGATAGGATAGCCTTGTCCATATTAATACACTCGTAAGAAGTTAACAAAACGTGGAACTTCAAGTTCTCTAACGATTTCAGGCGAGCAGCCTTTGGTCCACTCTAGAATGATATGATAATGAGAAAACATACGATGACAATAAGATCTACCTTGATGGCCCCTTCAACAAATGAGAACTCATGCTCACGAATTACCATACGCGAGTCACGATCTCCAACATAAGTAACAACATAAAAGTCGGGACACCATTGTTCTGCTTCACGTTCCCAATTAATAATGGTTGAGAGTGGAGCAGCAATCTGATTTGGATGAGTTTTCATTTAGATGGAGAAGTGAAAAGTTTACCAGGAAAGGTCCTTTGCTATGGCTCTCTTTCATCAGTGTGTATAAGAAAGTGAGAGATTGGACAGTTTTTCCGAGACCCATTTCATCGGCAAGAATGGCATCTGTGCCATTTGCCCAACAATGCCTGAGCCAGTTGATACCCTCAAGCTGATAAGGGTGAAGAGATCCACCAGTTTCACTAATGAAATCAGGTTGAACTTCATACTTCTTGCGAATCTGAATGTGTAACTGTGAAAATATGATCGAGAAGAAAACATACATCAACAGTTGGTCTGTCTTTCTTCTTCTTCTTAACAGAGGTTTCATCTCCTTTGTCATTCTCCATAGGAGGGAGACCCTTGAGCTCACGAGCAACATTGATACGTTTCAAAATATGTTTGGGGATATTTTCTCCTAACATTCTTTCTCTGCAGATTACAATAATCAGTAATGAGTATGTGAAAGGTCATTTACCTATGCAACCAATATTTCATGATAGCCTCTTCATAATACTGAATATCCATATCATCTCTCTCCCAAGTAGCTTGCTCATAAACAAGTTCCTTCCATTTCACCAAATAATCGAATTGATTTTTGGCGTACTGCATGTGATTAATGATACGATGAACCTAGAATCAGGAGTTCATTCAAGCATTCGGACAAAAAAACAAACCTGCATCCATTCTGGTTTAATACCGTGTTGATAAAATCTTTCACGTAAGTCGTATGGATCATCACCTTTGTGATGTCTCGAGGTGGTAGACTCGTCAAAGACTGGGGGAGTTTCAGAGTCATACTTTCTCCAATACATACGTAAAAGCTATAAACGGAATACTTTGCGACAAAAGCTCATGATAAAACGTACAGCTGTGAAGTACACATCCATCAAGGTTTCTGATACCCATTCACAGTGCCAATAGGACATGTAACGCCACTTGATGAAGAATTCACGTTCTCTTCTTGGCTCCATTTTCATGGGAGGGTGAAGCATAACGAGATCTTTATCAGGCTCTTCTCCTTCTTTTGGAGTATATGCCTCGACATAAGGAATCTCCTTCCATCTCCAACTCAGAATCTTCTCAGGTCTCTGCTTCGGCTCAGGTATACTACACCGTGGACAATGCCAATCGCCGTCAGGAATCTTAATATGCATTACCTTCAAAAAAAATTGTTTAGAATACTCACAACTTCGAGGACCGGGTGGAGACAGTACGCGTGATATGAACTTGGACACGAGTCACAGCAGAGTAAGTGACCAACATTCTATAGAGTAATGATGAGCATAAAAAAAATGAAGAAGTTGATTTACTTGACAAATACGACAATATTCCATGTTAGTTCTAACAGGTCCTTCATCTGCAGAGACGGGTGGTCCATGTTCCTCGCAATGCGGACAGCTCCAATCTCCTTCAGGGACTGTCTCTAGTTCAGGAGTAAGGCAGACAGTGTGATAAGCGCGAGGACAAGTGTCGCAGAGAATTATTTCTCCTCCAGCACGACAAACTTCACAATAATCCTGGTGTTCAATCTTCGAAAAACGAAAACGTTGCTCACACAATAAAGAAATAATAACTTACATCGTCTTCACCCTTTGCCTTCTTAGCTTTGCGTGCTTTCTCTAGAGCCTGCTTCTTCTTATCAGCTTTCTGGGCAGAACTGCAATTAAATTTTTTTAGAATGAAAGCTGACAGTGATAGGTGTACCGAGATAGTCGTCTTTCTTCCTTTTCCTTTTCTTCCTCATCCAGTTGCTTTTCATGCTGTTTAAGGATGGATTCGAACTCCTGATCACTGTCTTCAAAAACTCAATGGAAAAAAAGCCGCTCTTCAGAATGGACTTACGATCATTGTCAGAATCATCATTCCTCTTCTTCTTCCTAGCAGATATTCTTATCTTGATAGGAGCAACGGTCTTCTCCTCCGTTCTGCTGAAACTTAGTCAGAGTTGTAGCAGGGCGGTTATTAGTACAAACACTTACTTCTGAGGTTTTTTCACAGCCATCTGTCTTCCTTGAGACGCTAAAAGCTCTTGGAACTCACGATATTTGACTTGGAATAGTGGATAGAGCTTCGTAACATTAGCTTTAGGATTAGCTGTAGTTAACTCTCCTCTTACACGACCCATGAAACTCTAGAGAGAAGATGATTAATCAAGTAATAACTGATTAAAATACTTTCAATGAGGTGATTGTGGTGAAGTCCTCTTCGGTGAAATCTATATTAACATCTTCAACTCCGATAGCTTCACACATCTCGGATGATGTACTCGTAGAAGGATCAGGATAATCATGTTTCTTTTTCCCAGATTTTGATTTACGTCCTCCCTTCTTTTTGTTTCGGTTTGATCTGAGTTGCCCAGAAGCTAAAGAACCGAATATGACTACGAGTACGACTGTATGAGACTACCTTCTACTTGCTCTGGCTCCTCGTCGATTTCATCCTCATTCTCTTCTCCGTCTTCGTTAGTTAGCATAGAATCATCCTCGATGTTATCGTCAACTTACAAAGCAAAGATCTTAAACTATCCAAAAATGAAAAGCTTACCTTCCATTCCTGTAGCAGAATCATCATGATCATCAACATCAGCCATTATTTTGTAAAGCTAAACAAACAAAACGTTTAATGATTAGACATTCAATTTCAGAAATAATCATCGAAAGACACAAAAACATACTATAATTAACTAATTAGGGTATAATATCAGAAATTACTAATGAAGTCAGAAAAAAAATGTTAAGTAACCTATTTGAAATTTGAATTGCGCGTTAGGGCAGATTGGCGCCGGAGCACGCTTGAGACACGCTGGGCAGACTCTCATGTCCCACCGGAGCAATGACGAACAAGCACAAACAAGACAATGGGGGCGTTTCAGATAAGGATTTTTTTCTGCTACATTAAATTATTTTTCTAGTAACGTATTGAAAATCCAAAAGTTTTGGAAGCAGTCCTGATAGTTCTCACCTTCTTTATCATTGAGAGATAACAAATGTTGATCAAGTACAGACTGTATATCCATAAAAGGACGTAAAAAAAGTTTTGCATAAGATGAACAGCAAGAGTGATCAATCGAGAAGAAGCAACACTCCAGAGATTATCCGGGGAATCGTCTCCGATTTTGTATAAAGGATGGAAGGAAACGGTAAGCGTCCGGAAGGAATGACGCCCCCATCTGAATGCAACCGTCCTGTACGCAGAAAACAGTAAAAATCGTTCGGACTTCAAAGAAAAAACTTAAGATAATATCGAAATATGAAAATGATTCGAGGTGGATGTGAGGAGATGAACGTAATAAGTGAAAAGACAGTGTCCCACTGGAGTAAGCGGAGCGGGGTTGTCCCACCGGAGCGACTGGAAAATCAATACTTGCTGAGAGCATTACCACTACCCCACTATTGACCCTGACCAGAAAACAATTGTGGTTGCGTCCTCACATCGAAAAGCACCAACGGTCAGAAGATCGGTCGATTACGGTACTATCCGGAAGATGAATGAGCTCAAAGCAAATTTTGCAGAGAAAGCCAATACGAAATGCGGAAGTGAGACTGGTCTGGTAGTAGAAGCTGTACAGGAACAACCGCACATCAGCACAGTAAAATCAAAATGGAAAAGTGCAACACTTGATGCGAGCTTAATAATAAGAATTTCTTCAGAATTTTCTTGAATTGTTCTTGTTTTCGATCTGGATTTCAAAAATTCAGAAAATTCAATCTAGAAGATTCTAAAAATATTTGAGGCTGGCGAGACTTAACGCCATCCACCTTTGCCTATGGAGTTTGCGCGAGCGCGGTCAATTCAGATAATGAGAGAAAAAAACGAGGGGGGAGAGAACAAGAGAGAGAGAAAGAGAGAGCTAGTGAGAGGAGAGAGGGGGGAGGAGTGAGTAGGAAAAGAAAAAAAAAACGAAGTCATCTCCACTTACTTATACTCTTGATTTCGAATGATATCGAACAGTTGTTTTAAAAAAATGGCAGTTCCGTTAAGTGAGCGAGGGAACAAAAGGCCTTCGCACCCAGAGTCTTCGAATCTTCGTTTATGCTGTTTTCTCAAACTCTAATGTGTTTCAGTCTGCTTGTTAGATGGAACAAATCAGATTTTCATAAATGTTTTATTTGAAAATTCATTCTGCCTTATTACATGACTCTCTTTTCATTTTTCTATTCTTCTGGGTTTTCGTCTAACTTGAAAGTCCATGTAGGAGAAGAAGGTGTTCAATCATGGCTTTCGGAATGAAAAGTTAGCAGAAGATTACAATGGGAAGTCTTGAGATAGTTTGGAGAATCAGATGGAACAGACAAAAAAGGCTATAAACATTAGGGAAAGTAGCGTCCGTTGAGATGGTTTTGTTAGTTTCGATCCTTATTACGCCCACCCCTTCACCCCCCCCCCCCCCCCCTCCACTACCACGCACCATATAAGGCGCCGAAGGTTATTGATTGGCTCAGGGAAATGCTAGTTCACGAGCTTACCAAATGATATGTTTACCAAGACTGACTTAGGCAAGAGAAAAAGTTTTTTGAAAGAAAACTTTGCGTGTTCAATCCAATCTGTAGCGAAGCATAAGCTCATGCGAATAGATGGTTGGCGATAAGAATGGAAAGTTGAACTCCCATCCGACAGTTTTGGCATCAAGGATCCGTATGATGTTTCTCGACGATAAATTTTCTTCTCGGCTATCCCAATTCTTGTTTCTGAACGGGGAAAGAAGACGCTGGTAAAAAAACGATTTGATATTCAAGCTTATTGAAAAGGCGGAGCTTGACCTTGTCTAGAATTTGCGTGTGAAATACCGGTTGGTGAGTAGGCTTCTAAGGAGGCTCGTTCATTCAAGAAAAGCAATGTTACAGTCTTCATCTTATAAGGAAATTGAAAAGAGAAGTTAAAAAGACATGGAAGGAATAAGTAAATATGTGCGTGTATGAACGAGAGAGATTGATAGGAGAGATAGTTAGAGATGGAGAGGGAGTTGTATTCGTAGAAGTGTGTAACCCATTAAAAGAGAGAGGAAGAGAGAGTGAAGAGAGAGATTGAAGATAATGCCGTACAAGGCATCTGTCGGACAATGTGACATCAACGAGACATCAAACTGGGCCCCGAGGCATAACGAGAAAGTATCTGTAAAAGAAGAAACAGTCAGCGATCTTGTTCGAACAATGCCCAACACGGCAAGAAGCATCCATTACCACGAGAATTGCATGACATAATACGGAGAGTCCAGACAATTAAACAAGGACGACAATTTTTAGAAAAAGCGTGGCGAGACAAGATTGTCTTATTGCTTTCATCTGCCATTCGCCCAGGTGTTGAAGTGAAGACAAAAAAATTACCTTCTAAGAGTTTAAGCATTCTTTTTGCATGTTTATAATTTCTCCTCCTCTTCGCTTGTATTGTCGACAACACTCATAGACCCAGTCACGTTCCTTCTAGTATCGTTCAGACGGCAGACTTCCTCCTATATTGGATAAGCGCATCATGTTATTCAGATTAATTCTATTTTCGTCTGTATTCTGCCAAGGTACGTTTATCATTATGATACTTCTTCTTCTCAACCCCCATTGTCTCTTTCACTGGAGTAGTTTTGTGCCGTTTAAGCCCGTTGACCTAATTAGGACAAAATTCAAAATAAATCTTTTTTTTCGGGTTTCTTACCCCCCATTCCATCACATCTCCATCTCTATTTTCGGGGACATAACTTTTCAGAAAAATAAAAACGTTCTTCACATCTTTCTCATTTTATTTTTACTTAAGTTTTCACCCAAATTAATTTGGGAAGCTTCTCTCTTCATCCAGCCAATGGAGGCGGCTTTAACATGGGGCTAGGCCAGAGTGCTAACATCTTTGGCTTTGGAGGTGATCGTGGCTTTCAATTGGGTGCCGGCCCTCAACAGTTCAATTTACAAGGTTTTTGACTTTTTTTTGATCCATTTAAACTATCGTTTCGAAACTTTCTCTCAGGATCTCAAGGAGCTTTGGTAGGGGGCGAACGCGTAGGGGTAGACAGCGGCTTCGGCCTTCAACCTGGCGGTCTCGATCTAGGAAGTCAATTACAAGTACATTTTAAACCATTTTCATTAAAAATGAAATTTTATGTATTTCAAAACTGTTTTGTTATAGTTTGGCAATCAACCTGCTCCATATCATCCTCAGGGTCAATTTGGAAGCTTCCTTGATAACATCAAAAACTTTTTCACAAGATTAGGTAAGCTTGTTCCAAATTAGCATTTTGCTAATGAGGCACGTGTTAGCAAACTTGAAACTAGACGAACGTTTCTGAAAGAAAACTGAAAGAAAAAAAATGCATTTGATACATTTTCAGTTCCATTCCCGGCTATGACATTACCCCAGCAGCCATCACAGACTACACCTCCACCGACCCTGAGACCACACTTGGGCAGTGAAGGACAGATTTTCGGTATTTACATTCCTTTTTTATATTATAAAACAATTCATTTTTTTTCTCTATTTTACGGTAATGTATCTTATCGTTGAATGGTTTACAGGTGAAGGAGAACGTGAGAACACATTTGAAGAATCAATTGATGAGGAACAATCACTTCTTCCAATGGATGGAGATGCAAAGCCCACTTCATCATCATCATCTCATTCGAATGGACACAATAATGGCCAGAGGAATATTGAAACGAAAGATTCTGATTCTGACGTCGATTCAATGCCATCAAATATCTTTTCTATGACAACAGGTATAAAGAATCTTTAAGATTAAACTGGAAAAGGTGTTTTATTGGTTACAATCACATGAAACACGACTTGCCCTTTCATATTTTGGTCTTCGAAAACCATTTTTTACATCATCAACAGACCTACATGATCCTTTACGAATGTTAAAGCATCCTTGTTTACATGATCAAAAAACTCTTTCATAATTACATCTCACAGTTCATCTCAACTAGCAACTCTGCTTTTTTCAGAGCGTCCACGTCAACTGCCTGGTCTCATAGAATTTCTCTAAGAAGATGATGATTCATTCAACTTCAACACTTTAATGTGATCTCACTAATACTATTTCTTTAATTTTTTTTTTGTAAATAAATGTAATTATCTTATATCTTAATGACTCATTTACATAATCTCACGTAACTCACGTGAACATCGAACAGCGACATATTTTCATTTCATTCGTTCACATCACGCAAATCGGTTGTGTTCCGCTGCCTGCGAGAATAGAAAGAAAGAAAAGATTTTCCTTTTTCTCTCTTTTTTTTTGAAATTATTTTTCATTTCAAATGAATGAAATAATTTTATTTTTGAATAAATGAAGTTTGCTTTTTCATCAAAACTTACAAACAGCATTGATTAATTCAAAAATTAAAATTGAAATATTGTTGTGCTCGAAAGGTGGGGGGAAGCACGGAACGTTCACAAAATGCTTTTTGTTGGTGTTGTGTTAGAGGAAATGAGCAACTAACCTATTCACTCCTTCAACTCACTCTCTCTCTCGCATTTTCACTCTCTCTCTCTCGCTATCTTTCAGTGTGTCCATCTCTACTCACTCTCTCATTCTCCATAAGGGCAGCTAAAGACTTAAGTCGTCCAAAAAAGAAGAAAAAAAAGAAGAAAAAGAACGTGGCGCCAACATGTTGCCAAGGCATCTATGTAGTGATGAGGAGGAGAATGCTCTTGCATCATCAAAATTCATTTCTGTTTATTCATGTTCATAGTATATCCAAATGAGACTGATAGTCGTTTTTGGAATTTTTTTGTGATAAAAATAAAAATATTTTTCATTCAAAATTAACCATTTATTACTACGTTATTATCTAAGCTTATCCATCTGATTATCGCAATTTGCCTTCAATTTGTGTTTGAAACCAAAAAAAATGATTTTGAGAGAGAGAGAGAGAGAGAGAGAGAGAGAGAGAGAGAGAGCACCTACACACCGGCACCACACACAATCAAAACAAAACGGCAATTCTCTCTTTCTATCTCTCTCTCTCTTTATATCTCTCTCTCTCTATCTGTATGTCTCGTTACGTTTCAAACCTCACGTTCATCTATTGTACTCTCTAATTATTTCATATTTTATATTATTTTAATGACAACACTTTCCCATCAGAAAGAGACTTGAAGCCAGACACTGAACGCTGTTTCATCTCAGACAAGAAATTGAAGGAGTAAAAGAGAATTCCGTTCTCTCTCTCTCTCTCTCTATCTCTCTCTCTCTCTCTCTCTCTCTCTCTCTCTCTCTCTCTCTCTTGAACGAACAACATCTCTCTTCTCGTGTTGTGGTTATACATTTTTGCAATCAATATCCTTTTTTTGTGTGTTGAGCAACAACACAACAAAAAAAATGAAAACACAACATCTCATTCAGGCAGTTTGTTTAAAAAAAATTTTTTTTCTTTGATAGATAGATGAAGGCTGGTTAGAAACCAATGCAATTCAGAAGTGAATCGATGCTTAAGGCTTCCTTATGCCATCTTAACATCCATTCTCACTTATGCTCCCATCAATACATTCCTCATAATCGCTTTTTATCATTTCTATAGAAACTAATTTCATTACTTCTCACATCCATGTGTATAATCCAATGTTTATTTCAATCAAATCTGATAAGCTCCTTTTATGGAATATGATGAACTTCCTATTATCTTTAGCCTCTCTCACACATGGATCATCTCTCTCATCTCATACGATAATCTTACCTTGCAGCTTTATTGTCTAAATCGTCAAAATCAAATGAAATCTAATCTCCTCTCGAAAAAGTTCATCAAAATGTTCTTCTTCTTCATCTCATTCATGAATTCCCTCACATCTCTCATCAACACAGTCACATTGAGATTCTTTCATCTCCTGCCTATATTCTCTCCTCCTTTCTTTCCCTCCAATTCGTCTGGCTCAATCTTTTCCAATCATTTCCTCTCTCTCTCCCTCCTTCTCCCTCTCAGTCAAACCTTTTCTGAATGTTTAGGAAATGAACATATCTATCTATATCCTTCATTATGAGCAAAGTTTCCGCTTTAATTTTCTAAAAATTCCTCGAACTTTGATTAAAAGAGCATTTCTTTTCAGAAATATCTCTTTCTATTTGCTTTTCTCGTCCCTCATCTCATTTCAGATTCTTATATTTCGACGTTTACTAATAACTTCTTTTTTTACTATATGTTTCAAAGAGAACATTTGTTCAACATATTCTGACCTTTTCCTTATTCAGTCATTCTCTCTCTCCCCTTCCCTCTTCTTGCTCATTCCTTTACTTGCCAAGTTTGCTCCTTTGATTTTCAATAATCGATATCCTACCAACTAACAACTCTCCGACTACATTTGTTTCCTTTCAGCCATTTCCTTGTTTTGGAGAGATAAATTAGTTCTTATGTCTTCGTTCTCTTACTTGAACATGAAAACAGAAACCAATAATTAAGCTATTCCAGCTGATCTCATGAGCGAACTCCGCTCTACTTTGGGCGAAAGAATTCGTTTGAATGTTGGCGGTGTCATTTTCGAAACTTCCGTCTCGACTCTCTCCAAGTTCCAGCCATCTGTAATACTATTACTTGCAAATACTTTTCTAAACAAAAATTTTGCTTGCAGTTCTTGTCAACCATAATTGAGCAACGATGGAAAGGAGAACAACAGGAAATCTTTATTGATCGAGATCCAACACATTTTCCGAAGGTTTTGTTACTTTCACTCCAAATTGTCTGAGAAATTTGAATAATTGAAGGTTCTGAACTTTTTACGGGATGGAATAGAGTTTCAGCCGCCCAAAGATCCAGACTCGCTGGAGGAACTACGTCGAGAAGCTCAGGTTTTCCCCTCACTCTCGTTTTATGCAGACAAAGTCTATTTTTGTAAAGTTCTATGGTTTAACCCAACTCCAAACACTTTGTACTACAAGTGAATTGATGGTTGGAGATATAATTCAATGGAAACATGAAGCCATTCCCCTCTATTGGCGCCCATTCATACGCTATCTCGTTGACGATTCTTTATCACTCCCTTTCATATTTGACAGGTTTTTTGAAAAATTATGAAAAAAAGAACTTTCAACGAATGTTTGCCTTTTAAGGAATAATCATACATTAGCTCGTTGCATAGCATGCGAGGAATATCAGGACCCCAAGTGTTCATATCTGTTTGACATCAACTATCTCGATTGGGAACCTATGAAGCACCACATGACAGTCATGAAAGGTGAAATCACTCAGGTACTTGATAATTCGCCCGAAACTCTTTCATCCTCTGCTTCAGTTGATGGGAAATCACTGTTGTATCATCGAATGGGAGAATGGTCAATCTATCCATATACCCAAGTCTGCACTCCGAAAAGTGATATAAACCGATGTATATAGAACAATTATTTATTAATAAAGCAATTTATTCAGGTTAAACCAACTTCTTACACATATTAAATAAGACCTTCCAATTCTTTCATGAAATCATTGTAAGCGTCATCAGTATTCTTAGAAGCCTGTTCTTTCACAGGCTTGGGTTTCAAGACTGGAGGAACTGGGCGGTACACGTTTGGTTTATTTTGAGGTCGTTTCAATTGAGTGGGCACAAGCTGAAATTAATATCAACTAAGATAGGATGTGGATGATTAAGGAAAACCTTGACGGTTTCTTTTCTCAAATCTCTGAGCTGAGGTGCTGCCGAAACAACTGTTGGTCCTCGATCCTTAGACTCGGTCTCTTTACGAATAACTGGGGCAGATGATATTATGGCATTAGCTAAAATAGGCAATGACTACGATTGTAGGATGTCTTCACTTACGATCAGGCATCGAAGATGTATGTACAGGTATTCCCATAGGATTGGAGCCATACATAGATAGGGGAGGTGGACCCGGAGCTTCAAGTATGAGGATGCAAACAGTTGCACTATATCAAACTTACGTTTCCTTAATAAAGGTCCGTGAGAATGATATGATTGGTACATTGGAGGCCTAGATGGAGGAGCATCGAAATCAGGAACTAAAATACCATATATGGATTAGAGTATTAGCAGGGAAGCCTCACTAGGAACTGGGGCTAAGTCATCGTCGTCATTATCTCCATATTCGTCTTCACTATCACTAAGGGAAGGAGGCATACCACATGGCGGTCCAGGAGGCTTCGCCCGATCGGCTCGGGCGCGTGCTAATCTCACATCAACTTTCTTTCTGGAACAATAAGACGAATTATTGAAATCCCTGTAAATTTGATTCACTTGGCTTGTTGGAGTGCAACTTGGGTAGCAGCGGATGTGGACGCTGACGGTCCCATTAGTTGAGAAGCTCTATCTACGGGATTATATTCGGATTCTGGGAGAGGGATAGTATCAATGTCACACAGTCGTGCCATACGCTCCTGATCTGAATGAGCAAAACGTCTTCGAGCTACTTCTCATTACCATACCAGCTAAATGTCTGAGTTCCTTGATATCTTGATGGTAATGTTGTAGCTTTTCATTAATTTTCTCAATTTCATCGTCTTTCGTATTTTTTAAGACTTGTTTCCTTCGCTCTAGGGAAGCCATCAAGGTCTTGAAATATGAGCATGATAATCATACATGACGTAAGAACTCACATTCTGTTTCTTCTTAAGAACGTCATAAGTGAATTGCTTTTCATCGAGACCGAGCACTGCAATCTTTCAGTTTCGCAGAAGAGATTTCCGTAAGAAGCTCACTTTGTCTTTCTATTGATAACATCCTACGTATTGAATCGTCTACATTTAAACACTTCGCGATTGTTTGCCGCACTTGTTGCCTATCCCGTTTGTTTTTCTTGATTTCCTTACGGCGCTCAAGCTTTCGAGCCTTAAGCCGAAAAATAAAGTTAAATAATTTTTAAGTTTTCACCTGGTCCGTAGGGGCACGAAATGTTTTTCCAGACTTTGTTTTCGCGATGGAAGGCATTCTGAAATTGATAATAATGTGAGAAATTGTCATTTCAATAAGAACTGGAAAAAAAAGCTGGAAGTAGCAAGTTTGCAACAACACTAAACCAAGAAATTCAAGAACAATAAGCACTTCTGTGAAAACCCACGCATTTCACGTGGCGTGAAAAAGATTCCACGGAAAGTGAGTGTTATATGAAAATTTTCATTTTCATTTCTACAGACGCCACAGACCGGTAGCATTCAAATTCGAAATCAAATTTTAAGTTAAGCAACGAGTGGGCAAGCATGTTCACTTTCACAGAAGTCTTAGGTATTACAAGGCTCGAACAACAATATATTATGGAACTGGAGACCAAAAAATTAAAGTATTTGCATAAATATCTAACATAATAAAAAAAGCCCCATAGAAGCTCCGAACTCCATTAGAAATATGTACAAATATGAGATTTATTGCGTACTGCGTACGAATTGCATGTAAAATACGTTTTGAGAGTTCATAGTTTATATATTCAAAATTACAAAATTAGATATGTGTATGGAAATTATGAGAAACTAAATCAGTTCTGAAAATATCATTGTGTCTTATATATGTTCGCTTTAACGTTTCGTTCGCATTTCTCTTGCATTTTTGTTGAGTTTTTTTCCTTCACAACCACGTAACATATTTTTTAAGATCCATCGATCTCTTTTTGGGTTAGTTCTCCTGGATATGAGTACTGTTGTCCAAGGTTTAGTTCAGATTGTACTTAACACACTATTTTGAATATGATTTCAGCACCAGATTCATCTCCAGAAGTAGCCGAAGATTGGGATAACGATGATAAAGCCACAGAAGAGGCCAGAACGAAGCAATTAGAAGATCGTTTGCGACAGGTATAGTCATCATTCCTTTCTTTTGTTCCATTACAGTTTGTAGGTTCAAATTCAACAGAAGGAAAAAGAAGAGAAGGAAGCGCGAGAACGTCTCAGAGCGGCAGAAGCTAAAAACGTCGTCAAGTTTGTTTTCATATTTATATTTTTATTTTTTCCTGTTCTCGTAGTGCTCAAAACTTGAACTCAAATGTTGGCCCTCTTAAAATGCAAATTTTACGTCGACCCAAAAGTGGGGATCAGTTGAAAGATGAGGAAGGAAAGCTTCAACAAGAAGAAGAAGCTCGTTCTCGTGTTAGGAAACAGACACTTGAGGTTTTAATTAATAAATTTCCTTCTTCATATGTCTTTCTCAGCAACGCCAAGCAGCTTATGATGAAGCGAGAAACAGAATTTTGGGTTCAGATTACAAACCCGAAACTAATGTTCCCGCTCCTACTGTTCCTACGGTGAGCAGGTTAGTTATCATCTTGTCGAGCCCTTATCAACTCAATTAACGCTTTCAGAAATAAGTCACCTGAACAAATTCGAGTCCCCAGACAACCAGAAGCCGTGCCGCTGTTTGTTCCAAATATGATGAATCCTGATGATCCATCGAGACATCAGCAAATGGGTTTTGTCCAATTTAATGGACCTCCTCCTCCTCCTATGCAAGGGAACCAGGTATATATAAGTGATAACGAGTATCAGACAATTGTAAATTTAAGCAATACGTTCCGTTTTTTGATACCTCTCGTCCACCTCCAATGATGAATATGAATTACCAACACGTACCAATAGCTCAGTACGGTCCAACAGGGCAGTATTATGCCCCGATGCCTACAGCGATTCCCCAGCCCCAAGCGATGCAACTGCCTTACGGGTAATAGAAAACTATGAAGTAAAACTGGTAAACAAATCTTTCAGACGTCCTCCTATAGCTATATATCCTCCTGGTTCATTAGGTGCTTCGATGCAAGTAAGTAGTTTCAGTTCGAAGGTGATCGAAAACCAAACTTGCAGTTTAACATCGACTCCGGTCAGTCGCAAGCTCAACGGAAGAATCGAAAAGGCAAAAAAGGCAAACCTAATCAAGTGAATAGCGAGACTTCGTCTTAGTTCTCGAAGAGGTTGGAGGTTTTGTATAATTGAGCGAGAGAGTGTGTGAGAAAGTTTTCCTTGTTTTTAGTTTATTTATTTGTTGTTATCGCCCAGCATGTTCTACCGAGCCGTTCCTCAGAAGTTGTCGCATTAAAAGTTGAATATTGCACTTTACTTAATTATTATTGTTTCATAGAAATCAGTTTTGTTCTCTTATACTATCCAATTTTTGGCTCCGCCCACAAAACCGTGCGCCCTATGCATGAATTTGAATTTCTTTTTATCGTAATCAAAAATTATGTAACTTTTGATCTTCATGAAAATGAATCGACCCAAAATCAGTAGCACGAATGCAATCTCATCTGAACTATCTTCCTTCCCTTCCCCTTACCAATGGTATGCACGGGAATCTTCTGCATATTAGATAAAACTATGAAGATATAATCAATTTTTGAAATTCTGCCTTCCAGTGTAACTTTCGTCGTCCTTTTGCATCCGATCACTCACGCCCAAACCTTTCCATGATCTGAAACAAAGAGAGGGTTCTTATCTTTTCGCTAAAAGGGAATCATTAGTTTCAATAAACTGAGATTTTCTGAATTCCGAAAACAAACTTTTTTTGTAAGATTGCCTTTCGAGTAATCGCCTTATGCGTCTCGAACAGAAAACGTTCTAATAGAATTGTCTCCTAAAACCTCGTGAGAGGAAAAAACGATCTAACTGTTCGCGTGATTCATTTTTCAAGCTCGGGGTGAACATTCTGTATCATCTATCAAAATGATTATAACATCAGTAACGAAAGAGCGTACTGTGAGTTGATTACGAGGCTGAGAATGGTTTGCTGCTGGATTTCGACAAACACCCTCGTAAGATTGGTGAGCGAAACCAGAGTGTAGAAATTAATGGAACTCAAGTTAGTAAACGAGAGTTCACGTGGGAAGGCTTAGGAAAGAGTGGATTCGGTGTTAGGTTGTGTAAGTAGAGGAACCAATGATTGTTTTCTTTTACCCATCTAATAGGTTTCGTTCGTTCTGGAAAAGTTGATTGCTTCTAACGTAAGAGATTCCTCAACTCTAATCAGAGGTTGGAGGTCCTTACATTTTAATTTTTCTCAACTTTTCCAAGATTACGACCACCTAGTTGTGAATTAGTAAGAGCATTTGGTTGATCCTCCTACTGATGCTTGCATGTATAGGAAATGAAGTTTCTGGAGTATAGTCAAGATACACATCAGTGAGGATATAAATAAGAGTACTTGTAGTGTTGAACAGTTTGTATCTAAGTTGAAGAGTTTGAACTATGATACTCTCAAGAGATTCTTAGAAGATCGAAAACTATGATGATCTGCATCATAGATTCATAATGTTCTTGTTCTTTGTTGTTGCTGCTGTATGTAATGAATTCTTGATTCTCAAAAAAAGCGATTGGTATATGAGAACAAGAGAGATTTCTTTATGAGGAAGAGGAAGCTCTTTGCTTCTGTCCTTCTTACGTTCCTTGTGTGTGTGTACTTCTTTCTGGTAAGGGTCATAAGCTCGGTAGTTCTGTAAGTATTCAAACTTCCATGCGAGTGTTCATTTGAATACGAGTGTGCGTGTGTGCGTGTGTGTGTGTGTGGTTGAGCCTAATAGCTTCCAAGACCATATTATACAAAACGGGTTTCACTTCTCTTTTGAATTTTCTTTTTTTCTTCTTCTGCTTCTTCAAAACGTTGTCTTTTTTTTCACTGGAGTTAATAAATATGTTATAAATAAATAGGTTTTCTTACTCTCATTACTCGTGTCGTCCATCTGAAAGAGCTGCTGCGATCTCACTACTCAATAGGTCTCCTTCTCCAATCTCTCATAGCATCGACGCAGGCGCAGATCAGGAATGAAAGTTCATCTCTAGCAGTTCTGGCTTTTCAGTGTTAAATTTTAGAAAATAGATAACTTACTTGCGAATGGGGGATATTGCTTCATAATTACTTGCCGATAGCCTTTTTAGGTGGTTAACCATCGACCGTTTCACACATCATCTAGTCAGCGTTAACGGCCTTCCACGGAAACTTCGACAACATCTTCTATCACATGGTCTGTTCAAAGAGAAAGAAGTCAAATTTTGATCTCTTCTGAACAATGACGTCACGGAATTCCGACACATAATATGTACAATAAACGATTTTGCATTCAGATTCAGAAGGATAGAAGAGCTTGGGCATTGTTGTCAGCACCTTCTATTGAAATCCTTCAGAAGTTTGAACAAGGAGAACTCCTGAAAGAGCGTTCGAGCATGTGTGACGCAATTGATATCAGGATGACAATGAAGAGAGGAACTTCCCGATATGGTTTGGAAAAATGAAACTTTGATTTGTTATTCAGTAACATGAACAAAACTGATAGCTGATGAGAACTCATGCGGAAGTTTGTTTTCATGTCAAAGTTCGGTATCTGAATCGCCAGTGCAGTTGTAGTGTTGTCGTTTCTGACCGGAAGTTTAATAAACCTACAAAGCATTCTAAAAACTTGAATTTCTAAAAAAAGAATTGAACGTTCAAAGATAAATGGCTTAATCAGAGAGTTTTTGATTCGAAAAATTTGAAACTTGCTCCTCCCCTTTCACGGTGGTTTGATTGGCTGATGTGAACGTTTCTATCGAAAAATGATGAGCAAATATCGTTCTGATAGTCAGCCTTCTCTAAAAAGCCAGTTCTATTTCTCTTTCCTATTGACAATTGATTTCTCATAATCAAACTCCAACCCCACCTCCTTCGCTGAACTTATAAGGGAAGCGCCGTAAGCTCTTCAACTATCTTACAGCCATGAAATTTTTACTCTTCACCATCCTCTCTCTTCTCATCCACACAGGTAGAAATAAAATTTTCGTTCATCCAAATAAACAAGCTTTTCCATTTCAGCATTTTCCGCTGATTTATCCAGCCTCTACAAAAATTTACTGAAAAAAGAAGAACAAATTCGCAACGATCGCATGCTCGGATTCATTGCCAAGTCTGTCCCTCAGGGAATTGACAAACCCAATCCAAAGATTGCTGAGTAAGCCTGAATCTTGCAAGATCTCATAACTCATTCACTTTTATTAGATATGAGACTTTCAAGTCGGATAAATCTGCCAACTTCTTCTTGGATGGCAGAGGTAATCTCCACTTCCGCCAATTCAAACGCCTCCGCTTAGCTGACGTAAGAAACGAAGCTTCAATTCAATTTACTTAACGCTCATTTTCTAGGTCTTCCAACGCCGTAGCAGAAGCGGAATCTAAAACCTATCAAAACTAGGAAACAATACATAGATCTCAAAATCTTCACTATGTAAATAGCTTGACGAGCTTCAACACGATCAACATTCACATTTGAACTTGCTTTCTCATATATATGTTTGATTCTAATAAATGAAGCATAACCATTACTTGTCTTTGTTTTACTCGTTGCGCCAGAAGCTGTCTCAATACTGTAAATACCGTAAGATCAAAAGTGATCGGTCAAGTCTTCTATTGTCGTTCAAAGACAAAGTTGTGCGATCGTTTCTTAGACGTTTCCTTTTTTTTCTCTCCAATTCCTCTCAATTCTTATCATATACGAATTGTGGTGAAGAAATTAAACTGAAGAATTCACAATTTTACATCAGTGTTGAATAAAATGGAAGAAAAAGAAAGAAAATATAGTCCCTATGGCCACTTCGTTAAATTCATTTGATCACCTCTCTCTGTACACAACCGCTTCCATCTTATCACAATGCAGAAATGCGTCTGATCAGTAACGTTCACGTCCAACTTTCAACGTCAAAAAATGGCGTCGGTCGTACACGTGATCTCTCTGTTTCCATTTCTGGTCTCTTTCGTCTCCAAATAGCTTTATGAATTTGTGTAATATAGAAGATCAGTGACAGATCAGAAGACATTTCATTATTGTTCACGAAACTATGGTAGACTAAAGAAGAAATGGTGAAAGCCTAATTAAATTTGGATGATGTGCCGAGTGAGGAGACAGAGCATTTCGTGGCGAAACCATTTGGTGTGGCCATACCGTGTTAAGGCAGCGCTACTTTCGAATTGAACTCGGCCACATATTAATCTAATCTTTGAACTTTCAAGATCTCTGTGGTCGTTTAACAATTTCAACTTCGAATTTTTTAAATTTTGCAAAATCCGGTATTTTCCGTTTCGTTTACATTCTTCTCGACCTGTAATTTTGTTAAACTTCGGGAAATACCGTATTGAAGTAATTTGGAGAATAGAAATTGGGGTTGTCAAACATCAGTAACGTCTTCTCTTTGTTGTTTTTTCCTGTTTGCTGATCAGAACGACTTGTGACAGATTATCTTGTACTCTCTTTTCCTCCGAGAAAGGACAAAATAACAAAAATGTTTATGTCGTCTGATTAGTTTGAGTTTATGGCTATGTACAGAAGATCAGAAAGAGATTTTTCGTTTCTCAACTATGTACGGAACTGACATCAATCTTCGAACGAAGTTTTCTTATCTTTTTCATTTACCATAGACGGTTCGTCGTTCATCGCTATCATTCTTACTGTATATATGACTAGTCCAATAAATTTGCTTTTAATTGATGCATATCTCTTTCCAGATGTTCAGTTTACGTCATCCGTTGCCCGAAATAGAAAAAATAATTCGGAAAAGTCTAAAAATGGTTGAACTTTCATTATAAACTATGGCGAATATGGGCACACAGAAGTTTCGTTTCAAACAAAGGTTAAGACATGCGTGTTCACATCCATTTTTAATTTTGCTTTTTTTGACTTTCCAACAACAACAAATTCTATTCGTAGTAACGTTGTTCTATCTCATATCAACTTACTTTTGAACGGGTTGCACAGAGAGAGAGAGAGATAGAGAGAGGGAGGTAAGAGAGAGAGAAAGAGGAACCGAGAGGAGGAAAAGGGGGAGGTGAGGAGAGCGAACCCATTTCATAACTTCCTCCCCCTCAAGCACCCAAGTAATTTCATCAGCGGCACCTTGGCCCCCTTGTCTTTTATTTCGTCTTGTGCTCCCGCTCGTCGTTGACCTTTCTAGTTTTCGAGTTCTTGTAAATACAGCGTCTGAGATTTGACAAAAGCAAAGTTAACATTGTGAAAGATTAAAACTTTTTTTTGCCGTTCTTAGCAGTTCTTTGTTCGCCTCAAACCAATTTTCTGTCGGAATTTCTTAATCGCTTTTATGGAGATTTCTGTGCAGCAAAAAAAGCCCAGCGTGAGGTATAAGCTGTTGTCATTGACTACATTCCAGGCGCACATGATGACTTGGTCGTGCTGCTGCTGTGTCTGTGAGACTGAGAATTTCATAATTTTTCTTTGCTCTCTCTCATTCTCTCTCTCTCTCTCGAACATTAATGAAAATGTTTTCATTTGGCTCGTTTTGCTTTTGCTTGTTTCTCCAAAAAATTAAGCATCAATTACCATTTGTGAGATGAAGCGCACATTGTTTTCATGGGGTCAAAGAGTGATCAAAGATGATGGAGAGAGAGAAAGGAGATGAAAAACAAAAAAAGCTAAAAATTAGCTGTTTTGCCTTTCGAAACAACACAAAAACACAGATGGATGAATTGAAACTGTTTCATTTCATATTTCCTCGTCTTGCTGAAACATTGCTCTCAAATAGTTTGCCTCGCATTTGCTTTTTTCCTTTTCAGAAGTTGCCATGTCTTCTAGCGAATACGACGACGAACTCATCATGAAAGATTTCGATGAGATCGGTGAGTACTTTCATCCTTTCCATTTTCCGTTTGTTTGTACGAAATAACAAACTACTTTTCCTAGACTCCCAATTGGGTGAAGATCATTACATGCGCCTCATCCAATATTTGGCTGTTGACAGCTCAGATTCGAAAGAAGGTCTTCTACAACTCCATCAAGAGGTTTCAGCTGTTCTCTTGCCTTTCTTTGCATAATTTCATTCTTAGTGTCGACAAGTTTTCTCCAAATATCCTGTGGATGAGACGGCCAAAGCGAAGCCGATGCCTAAACGAGCCTCGTCCCAAGGGAGAAGCTGTAAGTTCTCCACTTTTTTTGTTTTTCAATAATTTCGATGATTATCCAGTGGATCGAACAACACCGACTCCATTAAGACCAACTCCTGTAGTACAAGTAAGGATTCCTTTTGCAAATTTCAGAAAATAGTCGTTTCGTTTCAGAAGCCTCGGATTATGCTGACGAAGAGAGTTCCTTCGTTTGCAGGATTAAATCCATTAACCGGAAATAAGAAAATTGTCACTTAAACCAATTCCCTTATATGTACATACACTTAAGCTTTAAATCAAACTGTTTGTTGTTCAATTCGGGAAAAACAGCAAAGTTCAGTCTGATCTTAATGTCCCCTCACTCCTTCTGTTCATCTCTCTCTCTATCCTTCTATACTCTCTTAGATCTGCGTGCTTTCACGTGAACGTCTGAGAAATGATGATGTCATTTGTCATTCGCAAACGGCTGAGAATGGTCGAACCCTCAGATGTGTGTTCTCTTATTTCCATATTTTTATATTTTTTTCCATGAAAACATGTAATTTCATTAATTTTATGAATGAAATACAAACCTTACGATAACTTCTCCTTTTCCGATGGTACAAGACAAAGCTAAAGAGCAACAAACGCTATCCAAACCTGACAACGAACAACCAAAGTTATCGAAAGACAAGGAAAAAGCAATCGTGAGAAAGGAAGGGTGATACTTTTCTCCTCTTCTTTAATTAAAATACATTTAGTTTTGATTATTTCCCTGTGACTTTCCAATTGACGAAAACACAGAAGTTCGGTTTGGGCATAACAGATTACAAGAATATGGTAATCGTGAACAAAGTGGAAGAGAGTAATTCGAAACATCGGAGAAGCACTAAGCTTACTGCCTTTAAGATTCAATGGTTGCTGGAGAATTGAAAGTTCTTGATCTCATAGTTGACATCAACGGAGTTCCTGTGTCGGACAAGGATATCTGTAAAACTTTGATCATCAAGACGCTTCAGGTTTTCCCTCTCTAAAGCTTCCAAACGTCATGTTTCACTCACGCTCTAGAATAATAAAACTGTTGATTTGGTTATTGGAAGGCCAGTGACGGAGTCAGCAAAACAGACGATGGAAGTGACTTGATTGTTTTCTCTTCAATCGTTCAAAAAGTTTTCAATTCAGAATGCTTTGGAGTCTTCTCAAGTCCAACCGCCCTCTGTTGAAGTTGCATCAGATGTACGCGACATCATGTGCAGATTTCAAACGAAGATCTTGGATCAATCCAATGCCACGGTTGCTTCCACTATCATTCCATATGATCAATCATCAACTTTTCAGAAAGGAATTCTGATAAATGAGAAAACTAATCCAGTTGGGAATGTGAGAATCACAGAAGAAAATCCGAAAACGGCCAAAATAGGAAACGACTGTAAAGGTGTTGCTTTACAGAAAGTGCCACGACCAACCGAATCCAAGTGAGCTGTACAAAGGCATCTAAGATTCAAAACATTTCCAGGAAAGCCGTCGAGAAGAAATAGAGAAGACCCAGACATTGAGGATCAAACAATAATTTATTCTAGCATAAATTAATAAAAAAAAGTATATCAAATTTCAATTATGTTTTGGTTGAGGGTGGTATTATTTCAAAAAACGAATCCAACGGAATAATAAAGCTCAAAGGCTTATAGAGAATGTATGAACAACGAAAAGGCCTTGGAAGGAGATGATGAAGGCGAACAAAAATTTCTTTCCAACTATCTATTCCTAATTGACAGTGACAAGGGCTCAAAAATCAATCGATAACATTGTTTGTTACATGAATTTGAATAACTTGGCTGTTCACGTGTTCGCCACGTGGCTTTATCATTCAAACTGATTCTCTTATGCATCCGGTTAGTTCCTGATGGTTTTCTCTTTATTTGTGCATTTCAAAAAGATTTTAGTCGAAAATTCCTTTGCTCTCAAGGAATGAGGATGTCGAAGATATGCCAAGGTCTGAGCTTTCACGAAACGTGACTATCGTTCAGAATGTGAGAAGTGTGAATCAAAACAATGTCTCTGAAGAGAATGAATCGAAAAACATTGAGAATATAGTCATAAAGGCAAATTTATGAGATATGGAGAATCTGAAATGGCATTTCCAGGAAACGGAGAGAACTCAAAAAATATTGAAGCTTGATGAAGAGATGGATGACCTAGAGGCACTACGTTCATGTCAGTTAGACATATAGGAGTATTAATTATTCCCTTATTTCAGTATCCGTGAATGATCATTCAGAGAAGTATCCTCTCTTGTATTATACAATACCTGTATGTCTGATGTCAGCTATGATGGATAACAATCAGATTGATATAGTCACCAGGAATGCTAAGCAGTATGGAGGAAGTAAGAAGTCTTCAGGAGCTTTTCGTTTAGCTTGTCTTTCCAGTTTATTTCGTTTTGTTGTATTTTCTTTTCAATTTCCTTGTTGGATTTGCCTCCATTGAACTGTTTGTGGGTATCGCCCAGTATACAAGAGCAGGAATGACTAAGATATTTGGGCTGTATGCAAGACTCTTTCGATGTGAGTTCATTTTCATTCTAAGCATGTTTCAAATGAAGAGTATAGGTGTTGGTGTAGGAATGCTAGTAACCGTCTTCTGCTTCCAATCAGCGGCACTTCATCGTACAGCAGATAAATTTTCTTTCATTTATCGCAATGCGTTGAATCCGTCCCGTTTGGTGACATGTAATTTTACTGAGTATCGTAAGTTGAGTATCAAACTTATGATGATGATTGATCTTTTTTGCAGATTGTCCCGATCTGAGTACTAAGGAGTACGAAGCTCTCTCTTACAGAGAGTGTTGCACATCAGTTTATCATGCTGTTAAATGTCCTTCTCAAGATTTCACAAAGTATTATTCAATCGGAGATCAATGTGTTCAGAAATACCCCAGTAACATCGTACTCGTGCCAGCAGCTTTGATATCTGAAACGTAATTATGTTGTTTGTCATCTTAATATTCTCAAACAGTTTTCAGAAAAGATAGTGCTATAACTTACGATACAGTCTTCGTTGTTTCCTCTATCGTGATCATCACTGTTGTAGCAATAATAGCGATGAACGGAATAACTCTTCTGACCATTTTTATGGCTGGTTCATGTAAGTATTGCTTTGATCTTCCTCAGTCCATGTTTCATCAGATTATCTGACCACTCTGGCAATTGTGATTTACACTCTAGGAGTTACATTTGGAATAGGGAACCTCAGACTGGGTCTGGTTCAAATAGTGCGTTTGTCGGAAATACATAAACTCTTCCAAATAGAGGTATTCTTTATGATCTTGATGATTATCCACATTTCATTTAAGATGCTTGTGGATTTAACGTTCATGTGTTTTTCAATGGTTGCTCTCAAGTTTTTCATCTTGTCCATAGCATGCTATTTACACCAAAAATACAACGCTTCAACGGTTAGTTTTATAGCTTGGTTTGGTGTTATCCACGCACTTTCTAGTGGTCGACTATCATGTATGGAAAAAGAACGTTTATTGACATTCTATTTTTGCTCGCTAACCTTTCTATGCAAGGAACTTTCGAAAAACATGCTCATCATTCGACAGTTTCGATTAGCAAAGATGGTGATTGGTGTTCTCCAAGAAACAATTAAACAACTTTTATAGTGAGACAATATGCACGTTTGATTCCTGAGTTCTTTGGAGCATTCTCGGACTTCGGATTTTTCTTTTATCTATACTACGTACTATGTGTACTTATGAATATTGGACAGATAGCTGGTGAGACATTTGTTGGAAATGATTTTGTACTTGTTTAAGGACCTTACTTCATTTGTTATACCTTGGCGAAAGATCATTTCCCTTCCAAGAGGCAGAGAGTTGTAAAAGTCTGTGTAATTCTCTTAACAATGTTGCTAGTAGCGGTGGCACTTACTGGAGATGTAAGCCTTCAAGGTCTTGCAGCATGTACTTCTGAATTATTTTAGAGTCGTCACTCTGCTTTCTTCGGCCGACATGTCATTCAATCGTTCTGGGGTTCCTGTTTTTTAGTTCTTGCAATTTTCGCAATAGCCTTCCTTTATGGTTAGTTTTATTACCATCGAGAGTTTGAACTAACTGTACTCCAGGTCCTCTGGAGCTTATTTTGGACAGGTTTCGTATAATGAAAATAACGGCCAGGAGTAGGCAAAGAGAGATTTTGGATACGTTATCTGCATACCGTATAGAACTTCTGCGTTTGGTTATCACACCCATCTTGACGGTTTGAGGTTTGCTCCTTAGCAGTTTACATTGCTACCTTTTAGTTAATCGTGCTCTTCGGAATAGGGTTTGTAGTCATCTATGCTATCAATCCGCCTAAGGACAAAAATAAAATAGTAAGTGTATAGGATGGATAATTCTGGAAAGCAAATGCTGTACTTTCTTAGCTTCATTACATTGATGTTGCCATGATTTTATTCCCAGTTCTATATTTTATTGCTTACCAAATATTTTTACAAAGAAAAAGGTCGCTCCATAAGATCGTAAGAACAAAATGTAGTTTGGACTATAGTTTACGATATTTTCAGAATTTCGAAAAATTGATTTTTCCAACCAAGCATCATCCCTCATATGCAAGAATTGTTCTCGGAGGTTTTTATCATTTCGTGCATGACAAGACTACTAATCAAACTCATCTTTGCAGAACCAAACACTTTAGATTTCCAGTCAGTACATCTACTTCACAAAAGAAAAATCAAATAGTTCTTAATGGTTGCATCTGGGCAGATAATGAAATGATGATTTGTTTGTTCTGTTTTTGGAAAAGAAAACATGTTATGATCTACGTATAAAATGCTGGAAGGCATGATTCTATGCATGAAAACATGCTTCTTCAACAGCTCTTTGCGTTTTTCATATTGATATGTCTCATATGTTTGGGGAACTCTGGAGGTAATAGACCCATGCTGCAGCATTTCAAATAGCTTATTACAGTGTCGAAACATCTGTTCTCGCCAGCTACAGCTGATTGTGGACCATTTCCGGAAGACTGCAATCCAGGTACATGAAAACGTGATTGATAAAGACTCCTCTACGTGATTTAGGTGATTTTTGCCGTACAAAATTTGGGGACATGTTCTGGTGTATAAAGTAAAAAGATTACAAGCTAAATCTTATTTACCCTCAATGACATCATAAACGGCATTTTGGATAGCATAATACGTTCGACAAAGATCATATAAGCCTAATTTCAACCCGTTGCTCACATAAGCTATAACTAAACTATTTTCCTTATCATATATCACTTGTTGACATCCATGTCCTGTGTGTCCAACAACGAATGGAACCTATAACTCATCCATAATGCTTTATGATTCGGCCAATCACATACCCCTGCTCTGTGCACAGGAAGATAGAAGAATCCGTGTCCTTTAGCTGTATCGTCCCCGAATACTACATCCGTTTCGTTGATATGATAATGTTGCAATTTTTCCAAAGTGTTTTCGCTGAGTAAATTCTTAGATACTACCTAGAGTGTATGAACAATGCTGATAAGAGAAATAGCTTCAGATACTCACCAAATTGAAAATCTCCGCTAAACCTCTGGCAGTACCAATTCCTAGAGCTGCACCTTGCTCAAGTTTGTAATAATCGGGATTATTGAAGGTACATCTATGGACGGATTCTAACCACGATGGGTTTGTGGCTGCTTTGTACAGGAAGGTGTTGTTCTGAACCGAACGAATTGAGTACAATACGTTTCAGGTCAACTCACATCATACAACTTAAACAGATTAGAGAAGTAAACGAGAGCTTTGTAGCTATGGATGATCTCTGATAGTCTTTGCCAGTTAGAAGCAACTGTTATACGAGCTACTCGGTGTGCCTCTTTCTCCAGCAATCCGAAGTAGAAGTCAATGCCTTGAACGAACAATGGATACCCAAATTGGAGATAAGTAGTCATACCATTTGGTCCTGTGATTTCTTCCCTGAGAAACTGTCCTATTCCTCTCTTTTTAGGATCCACATGTCTAATAATTTGATCGACAATCCACCTGGAAGGGTTCTGTTTTCACAAAGGCTCAATGTTTTTTACCCATAAGTGTACGGGTGATAACCCGTCATTGTTCCAGGGGGCCATTTGGGCCTCTCGTTTTCTATTATTTCTCTCATTAGGTTATGATCACTAGCAGCTGCTTCAGTAATTTCTTCATCAAAATACGGCAAACCACCCTATATAAATATGTTCTCTTATCTGAGAGAAATTCAACACGAACCATATGACTCATGGCCATTTGAACAGTGATGTTCTCTTTGCCATTTTTTCCAAAATCAGGCCAGTACTTCATTATAGGATCTTCATATCTGAAACATTCTTCATGAATTCATTTCATGATGACGCAACAGTACTTCAGCAGACCACGATCGACTAGCATTGCGATACATAAAGCGGAGACTGCCTTCGATGTTGAAAAAACTACAGTCATAGTGTCCTGGAAACATTCCAGAATGTACATTAGAAACTTTGAACACTACCTTCTTCCATGGCCGAGCTGCTGAACGATCGGCATATCCACCCCACACATCGACCACTTTTTCTCCTTTGTAGTAGACGGTCAATGCAGATCCTTCAGGTTCCCAATTATTCAAGAAATTTGCTCTGCAATACGAATAAAACGATAAAGACAGCAGGTAACTATGGGAACAAACCTAAAAACTTGTTCTACTTTCTCAAACTTTTTAGTACTCGTTCCGCTTATATAGATAGGATGGTCAGTATGCAACAAGCTGTTGATGTAGAAAGATAAGACGGCAACGAATGTTATAACCAAAGAAGACTTGATCCAACCCATTATAGGAAGTCGGAGTCGCTAGTTCTTATATCCCTGGAAATCTTTGCAGATCCCAGACTTCCCGACTATTCCTGGAATTAGAAGCTTGCACAGATTAAGATTAGTGATTCATATAAACGCAATAGGAATTCAGACAACAAAGGCATAAGGATTGGATAAGTCGCTAATAATCCGGAAATTGATTTGCTACGGGAGGCACTTTTGACATTGCCAAGATAGGCAGGACAAAGAGCAACAAAATAAAGAGAACAATAGGCCTTTTAGAATGACTGAGAAGTTGATATCTGTGCTGAAACTTAGTTTTATATTTTTGTTTTACTTATCGTCTCATCGGCAGAACTTCAATAGTTATCAGAGATGAGAGCAAAGAAGCAGTTACGTACCCAAAGGCACATGTCAAAATAAGGGACTGAGAAAACCAAGAGGTAAGTATACTAGAACAAGATCATCCACGCAAGTAAGGCAAGAAAACTCGAGATGGAAGAAGAGATTCGCACCTAATTGGGTATACGACTCATCCAATTTGTCATAATTTGAAGCAGACTTCCTAAATGGGCGTTCAAATACTTCTATTCCATCAGTGTCAAGAAACGCTTATGAGTTGGAGAATGCCCAAAATGGGAGCGCGAAGTTTGCGATAGCAGCGTTAATGCAGTTATCATAACACCTCCTAAATCGGGGCATTGCTCAATCAATCAGTGCAGTCAGCAGTGCTTCTTATCTGTGGCTGTAGGAATTATTACTGATAGTCAAACATATAGACAAGTTGGGAAAGTACAAGAAGAACAGTTTATTTTCAACAAATCAGTAACAATAACAACATAACAATGTTTCTTACACGCTTAGATGAGCAATTTTTCAACATCTTCCTTAATCTTGTTGATTTGAGATTTCAGTTGAGAACCTTCGTTTTGAGTAATGGAAGCAGCAATAACAGGGCGAGTAACTCCGCAGGCACGTCCAAGAGCAGCCTTACTACGGACAAAGACGTATGGAACGTTCTTGTCTTCGCAGAGAAGTGGCAAATGGAGGATAATCTCTAATGGTTCGGCATCAGCAGCCATGATAATGACCTAGAACACACACATCATGCAATGGTTACAAGCTAGCCACACTCATACCTCGGAAATTCCTCTGTTGAGAGTCTTGGTAGCTTCGTTAGCTCCCTTCTTCAACTGTTTGTAGTTCATAGCTTGTTGGACGAGATCAAGTAATCTTTGAGAAAGTTGAACATCGGCCAATGGATAGGCCTTCGGATTAAGTCCATCATCGGCCATCTTGTCTTATACTAGTAGGATAGGGGAGGAAAAAAAACTGAAAGAATTCAATATTAAAATCACAATATCATCCTGATTATGCAAGAGCTCAAGAATATGTTTAGTATAAAATTAATTCATAAACAATCCCAAAATATCTTTTAGTTACAAGCCGACCTGTACATTTCGAAAGTGTCATTGATCTCACCACGAATAGTGTACGGTAGTTTCGAATGCGTGCTCTATTGATAATTTGAATGTCTCTTCGTATATTGCTATGCCAGGCAAACGAATGTTTAAAATCAATTTGATATTTCCATATAAGCTTTCTTCTAATTTATGTGTTTGCAGGATGGGGGTGGATGAGAAAAAGTCGAAGTTGAAAATACTTCAAGTTTCTAACATATCGGTCTCCGCGACCAGGGAGCAAATCTACAATATGCTCCATTATATTGGAAAAATCGAAGATTTAAAAGTAATTTTACCTGTTTTGCATTCGCTCTTCCTATCTGTCGTCTTTTAGATTTATCCCAGTGATGGTTTCATAACTTCATCTACTACTCACAGAGTTGCTTTTGTCAAATACGATGACGACCGTTGTGTTGAAGTCGGCCAACATCTCACCAATACAGTTTTAATTGATCGAGCTATTTTATGTATTCCATGGTTACAACGTAAGTTTTTCAAAAAACTTTATAATCATATGATAATCTGTTTGTAGCAACCATTCCTGATGAAGGAACATTCATGAATAGTGGCCCTGCTGTCGCTGGACAAAGACAATTGCCTCCTCATGTTTCCAATAAGGTTCAACGTGACGAAGATGGAGTGTCAATGGTTAGGGTTTTATGAATAATAATATCACCAATCTATGAGGGTTTGATTTACTAAGGCTTATGATTTTCATTCCGTTTGATGTAGTCAAATGGATAGTGTTCCTTACTTTCTCGAAACCGCTTCCTTTATTTTGAAATTACAGAGTTATTTTGTGCGATGAGATTTGGCTCTTTCCAATGGTTTGTTTTAAAGAGAACATAACAGTTTTACTGGTAATTTATCCAGTTAGGGATATCAGTCATAAAAGCCGCGAGAAAAAAAAATTTTGTTTGCTTTATGTTTTCTATTTCAGTTGCTTACAGTCGATCCTACGTTGGAGCAGTTGGGTCTACCAGCATATCCACTTCTTCCTGGAGATACTGACCTAAACAAAGTGGAGGAAATTCGTCGTACAGTTTATGTTGGAAATCTACCAAAAGGCGTTGATGGACAAACCATTCTGGACTTTTTTAATATTTATATTGGAGAGGTTTGACTAGCTTATGCATATTATCTGTCAACTCTCTTGTTCAGGTTATGTATGTTCGTATGGCTATTGGTCCTGAGAGTCTTCCCTGCTCATATGCTTACGTAGAGTTCTCTCAACAATCTACCGTTCCTATCGCTCTCCAAAACAACGGAACAGAATTCCAGGGAAGAATGCTAAAGTGAGTTTTTTTTATTCTAGTTCATATGTAAATTGCCTCTCAAGAATTCAACACTCACGTGTTGCTATCCTCAAACCACAACAGAAAACGGCTGATCAAGCTTTGGAAGAAGTCGAGGAAGCCATCAGAATGGGTAGAGCCGCTGGAGGAGGTTTGTTCAAAATTCAACTATAGATTGTTCATAAATTTTTCAGACGCAAAGAAATCTCGCTCTCGTTCCCCCAGAAGAAGAAGATCACCAAGTCCTCGTCGCGAGAGAAGAAGATCTACATCTCGGGATAATAGACGACGTAGTAAGAGTCGCGACCGTAGAAGAAGTAAAAGTCGTGACCGCAGAAGAAGTCGCAGCAGGTTGGAGAGTTCAGCCGAGTAATGTGTTATGTATTGTTTTTCAGAGATAAAAGAAGAGAACGTTCAAGATCTACTGGTCGTAGAGACCGTTCTAGATCTCGGGATAGAAAACGATCTCACTCCAGAGACAGAAAAAGAGATAGACGAGATCGCCGTAGAAGCAGAAGTCGAAGCAAAGATAAGAAAAAGGTAATTTTTAACGATATTTTGATGTCTTACAATGATGCATGATCTTCAGGACAGAAGAGACAGATCCTCTGATCATCGGAAGGAGAAGAGAGATAATAAGGAAAATGACAAGTATGAAAAGATGGAGGTGGGTGAAGAGGAGAAGCTAAGAGATAAACTATTAGAGAAGGCAGCGCGTAATGGGTAAGTCTTACCATTGGTATTCTCGTTTTCTAAACAGTTTGATTGAAGAGACGTTGAAATGGAAGAGGTCTCTGAAAAAATTCCAAGCAAAATTAAAAATGAACGAAAAAGACGTGATAGCGACAGCGATTAGCTCAACTAATATCAACTCCCTATCTTCCGGATCCTTCACATTTGTTTCTTGGTTTCTCTCGGATCTCCACAGTTTCAGTAAAATAAGTTGTTTGACTTTCGCATATTTGTATAAACATTTTAATTATACAAATGTGTAAAATATAAAATATTGTAGTGAAATGTAATTAAATGTATTTGTTATTTTCAATTTATACTTCTTGGTTGGGAAAATCTTCTTGACTTCTTCTTAAGCACATGTTACGTCTCAATAAGCACATCAGTACTATTGTACGTGGCATCAGTACGAAAGAACTCGTGTATACAGAGTATGGAGATCCAAGCAAAGTTAGTCTGAGTGGATCTTGATTTCTGATGATCATGGCATTACAAGGTTATAAAGCTAGTTGAGCGGGAGATCGGAGATCTACCGACTGGGCATATCCATGTGAAATGGTTAGCATCGCCCATTAATCCAGCTGATATCAACCAAATTCAAGGGGTTAGTTCTTTGACGTTTACTGTTTGAATCGGGTTCTCTTCAGGTTTATCCCGTCAAGCCACCATTCCCTGCTGTTGGAGGAAATGAAGCTTGTGGCGAGATTGTTCAAGTACTAAACACCATTGAACCATGTGATCAGAAAATGATTTCAGGTTGCTGATGGTGTTCAAGGATGGAAAGTTGGACAGAGAGTTATACCTTCTCGCTCAGGTTTAGGATGTTGGCGAACGGATAGTTTCCATACTCCTGGAGAACTGTTTCCAATAGAATCCGGCTTGTCATTGGAACATTCTGCAACTCTCCAGGTGAGCTGAAATACGAAGCTCATTTCGTCTAAGTGACCGCATACAACCGCTCCTCGCCTCTCTACAACTAAAAATGATTTTTGACTCCATGGATATTTCGCTAAGATTGTTTTCAGGTGAACCCACCAACTGCTTATCGAATGCTTCATGACTTTGTAAAGTTGAAACCTGGGGATACCGTGATTCAAAACGGAGCCACGTCCGCCGTTGGTCGTGCTGCCATTCAGGTAAACGATCGTTTCGATTCTACCTAACCTGAAATGTTTGATAGATCTGTAAAATTCTTGGAATCAAAACTGTGAATATCGTCAGGAAGAAAGATGATTTACAAAAAACTGTCGATGAGCTTACTGCTCTAGGTGCTGATCTCGTTATCACTGAAGAGCAACTCTTGCGTGAATACAAGTTAGTCTTTCCTTTTAAGTCAATATTATACTCCGAATTCAGAGGAAAAATCAGAGATGTCGCTCTGGCACTCAACTGTGTTGGTGGTCGATCAACTCTTTTTTTGGCAAATACTCTTCGCCACAAAGGATACATGGTCACATATGGAGGAATGAGCAAACAACCTCTTCAGGTTTTGCTGTACGGTTTCATGTCTTTCTAGTTTTTCCTTTCAGATCCCTACAGGACCATTCATCTTCAAAGATATTGTTCTCACAGGGTTCTGGATGTCTAGATGGTACGAAATCCCGGAAAACATGCAGGTCTGATAAGGAGTCTTCCTTGTTTTATTGGTATCATTTGCAGGAACGTCATAATATGTATTCTCAGCTATCAAAGTGGATCAAAGAAGGAAAGCTCGAACATCCCAATTTCCAAAGAAGATCTCTGGACGAACATCCGGAAGCGTTGGAAACAGCAACGAACTTTATTCACAAGCAATTATTTATATTTTAATTCAACAAAAATTTACAGAGAATTCACAGGAAAAAGTATTCGATCATTCAATTTTACCGCCCATTCGGTGTACTGCTAGCTTCAGCTTGATCAATTCGTTTTTCTTGAACTGATAATGAAGTGCCATAGCTTTCCTGCAAATGTATATAAGCTTGAATAAAAATTGATGAGCGCAGCTACTTGAAGGCAAAACGATCACTCGAAGGAATTCTACAGCCATTGCTTTCATTCAACTCTTCTTCAAGCTTAGCTATCCTGGCCTTCTTGGTAGCTAGTCTGGTTTCGATTTCGGAAACTGAATGAAAGCGAATTATACGAACATTTCCAAGCAGTTCCACCTTTATCTTGCAATTGGCGACGCTGATCACATTTTATTTGGGTCTGTGAGGCTTGTCCCAAAACAGTCTGAAAGCGAAATGAATGTAATACGCCTGAGACCAACTACCATATTTGAAATTTTTTCGATGATTTGTGAAAATGTCTGAGACAGATCGTTAGTGGATATCTTGGAAATATCTTCAAGAAGCTTTTGGTGCGTTTTCTCTGTCACCAACACCTGTTGTTCTGCTTTCTTCTCTTTCTTTGAAAGACTAAACAAAACATGAAAAGCTTTCTGAACAAGATGCGCTCTAACACTTCCTCTAATTCAGTAACTTCCTTAAGCAGTTCTTGCATGCTTTCTTGCTTGTCAGTGATTAATTTGATTTCACTCTTAATCGTTGCCAACGGGACACTTGCTGATCATTTAATCAATTTCTTCCCGACATTTGTCATTCAACAAACCTTTCTTCAAATATTCATGCAATTCCAATTTTTCTTTTTGAGCTTTCTCGGTTTCCATTTCCAATTCCTTGACATCTGCAATCATCAACTCGAATTATTGATTCCCCCTTCTAAGGAACATACATTGACTTGAAAGATTCTTTAAAGTTTCACATTGACTCAAGATATTCTCTTCCAATTTGTTCATTTCAGTCATCGTTAACCTATGTATGCCTAAGCTTGCAACTTAATTAAATAAACATCGCCGAGAGCAAGCGAAATTTTTATTTTCTTCTCGGAACCAATTTTCAAAAAATCGCTGGCGCACTGCCAACACCCGTCATTTGGTTCGGTTCCACTGTGAAGCATATTTCGTGTTTTCACGTATTTGTTTAAAAAAAATAATTTTTAATATAATTGCTAAGAAATGTCGTTTGTTTCCTTACATGGACTGTTTTTTCGCTTTGCCGTTATCACTGACCAGTCTTTATCAGTTTTCCTTTCGCGTTTTCATGTCTTCAATTTTGAGGGTCATCATCTTTCCAGCTGACCTTAAAACGCTTTTCAGTTTGAACATTATTTTTTTGAATTTGCTATGAATATGTTGATGGTATGTACATGTGTATGTGTGTATAAGACTAATCTCTTCGACTGTTGATGAAGTTTTAATCTTCTAATCCGCATTGTTTTCTACTTTCTGTCCATTTTCTCTTAATAACTTTTTCGGTTTTGAAGTAGATGGGATAGAGTACACAAATGATTTTCAACCATCGTGCCAGCTGAGGTAAATTCAATGAACAAACAAATAAAAACTTAAGAGAAAAATTCCAGAAAGTATGTGTTCGTTTCCAAATGCTCTAATTTGCTGTGAACAAAGAGATTCAGATCGGGAACAAGCAACTGAAGAATGAAAAAGCTGATCAAATAAATTGAGTGTCAAAGCTTGAAAGGTCTTTTACAGCCACATTTCTTATATTTTTTTCGATGATGCTACGTGCCATTCGTCGTTGTTCATGCGGCATCGATTGAGGAGATGTTTAGTTACTAATAGACTGCAGATTGTTTGCCCGACCCGACAACTTGCAAATTCTCCGTGCTCCAGGGTGTTGTTGGCACGATTCATACAGTTTTTGTCTTGAAATTTTGATGTCCAACTCTCTTTGTGTACTGAATGTAGTGTTAGGGTGTCTCTAGCCTTGCTCTCGGCTGCCCTAGCTGCCTGGCCGAATTGATTGTGCCTGTTGGTTCATGTCAGCTGCCCCCGCTAATTGCATCTGTTAACTTAACCTCTATATTTTTTCGTTTTTTTTATTCTTGAGCTTCAATTAAAACTTTCGTATGGGCATGTTCATTTTCTTATCTCGAAATTTACAGATCTATATGGCGGAGCTTTCATACGATCATGTCCTTAACTCCACCAAGAGAAAGACTTTAGCCAGAGATGTTGTTGGAACGAATGATCCAGTGAGTATACTTCCGCTTATTCAAGTATTCTTTATTGTTTCAGTTTGGCTCTATTAGATTAATGCGAACAGCTCATTGCAACGCCGACACCACACTAGCTTCTAGAGGTTCGTGTATCGATCCTTCTTTAAATTTTTTTTTGTTAGGTTATATCCCAAGAGCCAACCCGGAGCACTTGCGTCCCATTTTCGAGCGTTTTGCAACGAAAAAGAAAAATGGCAAACTGTTCATGTCATCGGAAGATTTCATCCGAAAGTAATTGAGAATCTCTTGATTGGAGAACTGTTTTGATTCCAGATACCTTGGCTTGTATACTGAAGAGAATTATAACAAGGAAACAGTACGTTTGCTCGCTTCTGCTGCAGACACTACCAAAGATGGAGACATCTCATTCGAGGAGTTCTGCGCTTTCGAAGCTCTCTTATGCAGGTAAATAATTTCTTTTTTTTCTTATTGCTTTTTATGTTTTTCTTAAACCGTTACTCCTTCACGTATTTTAGATTTGTTTTACCAATTAGTTTTGAACTAACCCCATTTCACGTAGTCACGTAAACGCGAAGTCATTTTCATTTCAAATGACGGTGAATACGGCTGCTTTTTTGTGCGCTGAACAATAATTACCAATTTTTATAATTTTTTTTTTCATTTCTCTCATTCAGTCCGGACGCCCTCTACCTGACCGCCTTTGAAATTTTCGACCGAAATGCCAGCGACTCCATTACTTGCGATGAGGTGACTACTTTCGTTAACCTTGTCATTCTGTAACTTTTCTTTTCAGTTCGAAGCTGTTATTCGTCATACTCAACCTCTTCATGATATGGACTTTGATTTCAACTCGGATTTTATCAAAAAATATTTCGGAGCGTGAGTAACGGATTCCTTCCAAGGAAGTGACGTTTATTTTTCAGTGATAAGAAGAGAAGTATCGGTTATCATGCCTTCACCCAGCTTCTGCATGATTTTTATGAGGAACAAGGAATTCAAGCCTTCCGGAGGTTCATTTTCGGCAAACTAATCCTTCCAACCTTTTAATGCTTCAGACATGACAAAAACAGCGATGGAACTATCAGCTCCGTCGACTTCCAACATATCATGTCCACTGTCAAAGGACATCTCCTTACCGACTTCGTGAGAAACAACTTGATCGCTGTTTCTGGCGGAGGTGCTAGTGGACACAAGGTAAATGTTAATTCGAATCTTTTATGCTTTGAGTTCCTTCATTTGTTTTTTTTTCATTCAAGCAAGCTATCATAGTTTTGCATGAGGTTTTAGTAGTTTCCTAACCCTTTCTGTTCGTTTTATGAAATTTCAGTTTTCTGATTTAGCCGGGAGGACCGTGAGTTGTCGTTCTTAGATCGTTAACGATTCACTCCCTAGTTAACCTTTCTTGCTTTCATATCTGTCCTGATTAACTTTTCCAGTCCCTTGAACTCAGTCTCTCTAGTTATATGGTTTGTTTCAGGTAACCTTTGCCTACTACGCTGCTTTCAACAGTCTTCTCGCCAAAATGGAATTGATCAAAAGAGTTTATATTAGTCAAGTTCGTTTTCATTTTAATCATTCGCTCCCACAACATCATAATTTAGTCTCGCGGAAATCTAGGATTAGAAATGACGAAAGAAGAGTTCTTGGCCGCAACCCAAAGTTATGCCCATATTACTCCTTACGAAGTAGAAATTCTGTTCCATCTCTCTGAACTCAGCCATCCAGGAAAAAGGACATTATCCATTAAGGCATTTAAGAACTACTCAAATTCCACTAATTGTTTTCTTCCTAGGACATCGAAGCAATTGATCCCGAACGACTTAAACGCGTAGGACACGTTGACCGTCTGATCAACGTGAAAGCTGTTGCTAGTAAAGAAGACAGAGGAGTCGGAACTGCCGTGAGTTGCAAACTCTCACTGGCATTAAAAACTGAAACTTTTACAGTTCATGGAGTCAGGATACCGTTTCCTCCTCGGTTCCTTCGCTGGAGCATGTGGAGCCACGGCTGTTTATCCCATAGATTTAGTAAAAACTCGTATGCAAAATCAACGATCAGGATCATTCGTTGGAGAAGTGATGTACAAGAACAGTCTTGATTGTTTCAAGAAGGTCGTGAAGTTCGAAGGTAAATTCGTTTTTTCTTTTTCTTTGTTTTGAGATTCATCCTTTCTCAGGACTTTTGGGACTTTATCGTGGTCTGGTACCCCAGATTGTCGGAGTAGCTCCGGAAAAGGCTATTAAGCTGACAGTCAACGATTTAGTCAGGTAACGCTTAATTTATTTAATTTTGTGAAGCACTTCCTTCTCAGAGACAAATTGTCCACTGACGGAAAAATCCCTTTCTATTGTGAGATCATTGCCGGAGCTTGTGGAGGTGCCAGTCAGGTAGGCATAATTTAATTTCTCTTTATTTCATTACTTCATAGGTTGTTTTCACCAACCCTCTGGAAATTGTTAAGATCCGTTTACAAGTTGCTGGAGAGATTCAATCCAGTCAAAAGGCAAACATCATTATATTTCTTTTATTGGTAAAAAAATGATTTTAGGTTGGAGTTTTCACTGTGCTCAAGGAATTAGGATTCGTTGGCCTCTACAAAGGAGCTCGTGCCTGTTTCCTCCGTGATGTGCCTTTCTCAGCTATTTACTTCCCAGCTTATGCCAATGCTAAGCTTGCTTCTGCAGATGAAGATGTACTCTGCCCGCTACTTGTTTTCTTTATTACCACTTGTTTTTAGGGAATTAACTCTCCAGCTTCTCTCTTTGCTTCTGCTTTCATTGCCGGAGTTCCCGCGGCTGGTCTCGTAACTCCTGCTGATGTCATTAAAACTAGATTACAAGTAGCCGCCAGAGCAGGACAAACCACCTACTCTGGAGTGATAGGTAATGTAGAACAGACGTATTTGGAAGAACAGGAAACCGTGTTCTAGATTGTGCCAGAAAGATCATGGCTGAAGAAGGACCAAGAGCCTTCTGGAAGGGTTCAGTGGCTCGCGTCTGTAGATCCAGTCCACAATTCGCCGTAACATTACTAACATACGAGGTAAAGTTATGAAAAACCAGTTCAAATTATAACTCCCTGCTCTCCAGTTCCTACAACGAGTATTCTATGTTGATTTCGGAGGAACCCGCCCAACTGGATCAGAGGTGAGCTCACTCCAAAATATTGTCAGCAAACGTATTTGTTTTTGTAGTCTGCTCAAATGAAGTCGATTTCGGACGACAGCTCTATGAATCCAGATCACATAGGTGGTTATCGCCTGGCTTCAGCTACATTCAGTGGCATAGAGCATAAGTTTGGATTATTTTTGCCAAAGTTTGAGATATCCAAGTGAATATCGGGAAATATTTTACCGAAGCAGGTGTGACATGTTTTTCATGAGTTTGTCATGCTCAGTCATAGAGTTTTACGCATTCTTGTCGATATTGAGAACATATTAGTCTAGTTGGATGTGCAGAAGGTTGTTCAATCTTCATGTACTTGTTTAGCTTGTTAGGGTTCTAATCATATTTAGAATTTTGTGTTTATAGATTGAATATATAGATTTCGGGTATACATATTCATAGCGTCGAAGTCTTTTTCTGATTGTGTTCATTCATTGCATCTAGGAAAAAATTTATTAACACAAGTGCAATTGCTGCAACCTGCTCATTTAATTTTTTTTCTTTTTTTTTCTTCTCTTCTTGATCCTGAAACTCTAGTTAGGTCTTCATCTCCGCCAATACGGTAGCAACCACACACACACACACACACAGACACGAGTTCTCAACAGTTTCATAGTTAGCCGTTGTCGGCTCATTTTAAATTCATCTGTAAATGTTACTTCTCTTTTCTTTCACACTACTACACTGTTTTATACAAAAATGAAATTTTCCATATAAACGTGTTTATTGATTATTCTAATTTTGACTAGTTTTCATCTGAAGATATATATTTGTTTTCCCGTTCAATTATCACAAGTCCGGATGTGTGAAGAAGTGCTGATCGCCCTCGTCATCGTCATCGTTTGAAATTTCTGCGAATAGATGGTCAAATTCAGAATGAGAATAGAAAGAAGGAGGATCCATGTACGGCTGAAACGAATTACATCAATCAAAGACCGCTTCTTAGCGCAATTGCCTACCTTTGAGTCATCCGATTCTATTTCGGAATCGTCATCTTCAGCTGTAGTAGGATCGAGGGTTATAGCTACTATAATTATACCTGAAGAATGACGTGATTTCAGAAAATTGAAAAGGCTCTAGTTACCCGTAATTAGTAGGAAAACGCTAATGAGACATACTATGAGAACAATAGCAACGGACACTGAAACTCCTGGACGCTCAGTGACATTTGAGATGTCAGTTTCACCTTCAAGAATTCTACGCGCAGCTTCATCGACTACTGCAAAAGGTATGTTGTTCTCATTTGCATATAAGTTGTAACTGAAGAAGTAAGGGGAGAGAGAGAGAATAGTATGAACCTTCTTCGTAATCGGGATCAGCTGCATTATGAAGAGCTCGTATGACAAAATAGATGATTGTAACGAAAACTAAAAAGCCTATAAGAATGCCGCGAAACACACAACGCATGCCATCTGATCTGAAAGAAGGACGATGGAAGTTTGAGTTACATGGTCTAATCAAATAAAAAGATTAAAGTTTAACAGAAGGATTATTAGAAAATTAGTTGTTAAGCCAAGTTTTTGTTTTTGTTTGTGAATGCATGTCAACTGTGCGTATATGCGGAAGAGAGTAGAATGGGAGGAAGAGGAGGAGTGGACGGACGGACGGACGGACGGAGGGGGGACACTCATATGCGTTCCTTCGAATGACTAGCAGAGATGAAAGATGAACGAAAAATGACAGCTTCAACAGCTTGAAAGTAACTTTCTTCTTTTGCATTTTTTTCTGTACACGATGAAATCAGATACAGATGGAAATCTGTGGAACAAATAGCTCCGTCGTAACGGAGATGAAGGGTTAACAAACTAGTTCTCTTTTTGATGTTTACTGGTTTTATTGAACAAAAATAAACATTAAAATGAGGAGAGAGAGATTACGAGTTAAGGCCAATTGATGGTTCATCATCCATACACAGGAATATGATTGACTGAATCTCCTCCAACAGCTCTCGCATATAGATTGCGACAGAGTTTAATGAGTTGAAATGATGGATTCGACATGACGTTGATCTTGGCATCATCAACTGTCTTCGTTTGTTTATAAGTCGCTAGCTCACAATCTTCTTTTTTTTTGTTTTTATTTCCTTCTGCTTATGTTTTTTTGACTCTAGCACAGCAAAAAAAAAACTAATCAATCGATAGTCAAGAATTTGTTTCGTGGTTATGTGTGTGAATGTGTGTATGGGTGTATGTGGGTGCTAGTAATCATCTGGCGATTGGTAGAGGAGGTGGATCATAAGGGTAACTACTCGCACACGAGAAACGAGAAAGAAAGAGGAAGGACGAGAGTCGACAAGTGATGAACAACCATGTATGGAATGTAAAAAAATACAAACTATGTGTTGTCTGAATGGTTGAAAGCCATTTGAAGACGACATCAGCCAACCTCCTTATGAGGAAAGAACTCTGGGGCAAGAGACGATGATGTATGAGAAGAACTGGAGAAGAGAGGAAAGAGTGCAAATGAGTCGCACGGAATTCAGTTGTTTTATAATAACTCTTGCAATTCATTAGATTTCCTTTTCGTTTTCTCTCATGAGAAATGAATAATAATCAATATTGGTGTAATGGATGTCGTAATATATGATGAATATTTAAGAATAATTTCTAAGGAAATAGAAAATGATTTTAAGTTTTTTCGTCTTTCAGAAAGTAAAACTGAGAGAGAGAGGGGGAGAAGGTGAGAGGTAGCGCTAAGGGACGAAAATGGTTTTGAATACAAATTCAAGTTGCATGGTATTGACGACAGCTTACTGTCTTTCTCTCTCTTACTCCCTCCATCACCTCCACCCTCTCTACATTACCTTCGTTTCTCCATCACCTTTCTCACCCTTCAAATATTTTTAGTCATTTCATCAGGCTCTATCATATGTTTGCTTGATATACCTTATCTATCTCACTCAGTAGTACGCTCAGAACGGTTGCATTCACTCTCTCTCTCTCTCCTATCTATCTCTCTCTCTCTCTCTCTCTTTTTCCCTCTCAATTATCGTTTGTCTTTCTTTTTAAATCCGCAAAACATGTTTGGAGAACTGGATGTAAATTTCATTAAACACAATCTGCATAAACTTGGGGTTAACACTATAGGCGTAAGCTCATGGTAGTTCAAACAAGGAGGGAGACGAATTAATCAATTCAATCTAGCACTTTTAGAAGAGAGAGAATGAGTAAGGAAAAACGTGTGCATATATGTGTGTGGGAGAGAGAGAGAGAGATAGTAAGATGAGATGATTGAAAAGAGAAAAAGTGAAGAGTTTAATGTTGAAAAAACCTTAGGCGTGATTGGTTATTTCGATTGAATTCATTTGTGCAATGGAAGACAAAGGTTATCAATCAATTGACCATAATAATGATGAATTGATATGATTAAGAAAGCCAGTCAATAGTCGAAGATAAATGTTTTGTACAAAAAAAATTATTTTTTGGCTAACCGGCACAGAAAGAGAGAGAGAGAAGGAGGGGAGAGGTGGGAGAGAATGAGATAGAGAGAGAGAGAGAATGAGACTAATGAAGATATAGAGAAGAAGGAGGGAGGTAAAGTCAGAGAAAGAGAGATTGATAGAGTAACAGAACAAGATCGACTAACTGTTTGATTGTAAAATTATCAGAATAATACGGGGAGTACATGACTAAAAAAGGAAAATGACATGGAATAAAGTGTGGGAGGGATTAGAGATGAAATGCATGCGAATTATAAATGACCAACCGGTCTGTGTATGAGAGGCTTCTCTTACAAAAAGTTCATTTAACATAATTATAGCTTCAACTTCCATATTAAGCTTATGGCATGGAGAAGCTGGATTTTTGCGTGAAAACGTAATGATGATGAGAGAGACAGATGAGATGAGAAAAGATTTTTGAAAATAAGCCAATTGAAATGTTTGAACTAGACGATGAAACGACCTCTTACGAAGGAAATGAGGGCATCAGATGAAGAAGGGAAACATGAGATTAAAGAAATGGCGATTGTTCATGCATATTCATTCATATAAAGAAAAACGGATTTCCTTCTCTTTATTTTTTTTTCCAAACCAAAAAAAGTGCTCAATTTCAGTTGCAGAACTGGGGCGGCAGCTGAAGGTATGCGAAGCGAGCTCTTGAAAATGACATTTAAAGGGAAGGATTGATTGGCTTCAGAAGCTATGAAGAGGAAAGATTCGGCAGTCAACTGACTACAAGAAGGTTGGAGTTTTCGTTTTTTTTTTGCTGGTCTTCCCTTAGTTCGTTCGGAAACAAGAAGTTAATTTATAGATGAAAAGTGAACGAGAAGACAGGATGCTAGTTGTTCGAGAGAAATGAGTAGTGTTGGTTATGAGAGAAGAGTAAAATGAAAAAAAAAATGAGAACAAGATGGAGAGCATGAAAGGAAGAGAGAAAAAGAGAGAAAGAGAAGAAGAGAGAGAGTGAAAGAAAATAACTTATAAAGAGATAGAGAGGGAGTACGAGAGAGAGAGAGTGAGTTTGGAGGGTAAAATGGAAGTGTATTCGTATAATTAGATTGGCTAGCAGAAAATGGAAATCTGATAGGAGTCTATTGGGCTCAGAGCTAAGACCAATTCCATCCATGAAGGTCATTACCTCGTAGATGTTTTTTCTCTTATCATATTTCTATGTTCTCAGAAGACATATGAGTGATTTCGTTTTCTCAACATCACCAGGATGATGATGATGACGTTGATGATGGCAATGGCGTGATGGCGTTGTTCAATCGGCCCAAAAGCTATTTTTGAAGTGAAGGCTATGAGTTGGCCGAAGAGTTCGAAGACTGAGCAAATGTTGCTCATTCATTAAACTCATATCAAATTCGCTATATCCTCCTCCTTATTTGGTGGTGAGAGATAAGATGGAATGTTATTGCTTGAGCCAGAAGTATACATAAGTGGAAAGTATTTGTCAGAGAGAGAGTGAGTGAGAGAACGAACAGAAAAAAAATGTGAAAAGGTGCATGATGAAGCTGAACTCGAAAGACGAACACGAGAGCATACTTAGGATGGAACGAATTCGAAATGGAAGAATATTTTGATAAAAAAAAAATTGAAGAAATTCGCTCTGCATTTCGACTTTATTCGGTCATCAATTGTGCTTAATGCACAAAACAATGAGCCTCGAAAGATCCATATTTCATACGAATGAATGGTCCTCTTTAGCTTTTAATATTCTCCGTCTCCAAACAAATATCTTCTCCTCGTGTGTATGTCTGTTAGATCGTGTGTGTGTGTCTGTGTGTGTGAGTGTATGTGTGTGTGTATGTGTCTGTTCGTGTGTTTGTGAGACTGAGAGCCGGTCAACGTTAGCCAAGAAAAAATAAATTGAGCAGATGAAAAACTATAGCTATTCATGAACTTTCAATCAATAGATGAAACTGTGTAACTGCATAATACTGATCAGTGAGTACTATCCCTCATTTAGAAACTGATACTCACCTCTACTCACGTAATGTTTTGAATTGAACGGCACTTGAATGCGTAGAGTAATGATTGTAGACAGTAGATGATACCGCGAAGTCAGATGATTCCAAAAATTGATGAATCACTGTTTTTTAGTTTATCCTAAAACACTTATTCCCTCAACAGTTTTATGGGCTGTAGCTCGCTGTTGCGGAACATCCTAAACGACCTATAGATGAGGCTAGATTTTGAAATTTGTATTCATTTGTTGTTATCAAGAGAAGAACTAACGGATATATAATGTTTTTTGAAGTTTCAGTCTTCTTCAACTTCTCAATTGACGGCCATCTTCCTGATGTTCATTCTGCCTGTTGGTTCTCTGCTTTTCATTTTTCACGTTCAATTTTAGTTGATTGGTAACCCTGAACAGCTTGTTTCAGCATTCTCATGTATATGTTCAGGGCTGGTATGTCCTGATTTGAATGTTGAGAAAATAAAATGAGGTGATGTGTTAAGTTTCATTGATGTAAGACAATAACTTTAGGAAATAGCGTTATATTGAGGCCAGCATCTGTTGGTTCTGTTGAAT